TGAATTATTGACAATATCAATACTTCAAAATGCACTCATCGGTATTTTTTCGACATGGTACACCCTCAAAGCTCGCAATGAGCCTCCGCTCGGGTGCCGCTCCCTACCCCCCCCCCCCCCCGCTTCACCGGCTATGGCCTGGATTTCTGCACCCGTGCACTACGCCCATGGGCCCCTTTAAGCTAGCACCGGGCCCCCTGGGTCAGCGCAGGGGCCCCTTTGCCAAGTTGCCCCCCCCCCAAACTCCAAGTCTGCGACCGCCCCTGGGGTGTTGATCGCACGCCCCAGCCGATCGGACCCTGATCGAGCTATAGAGCTTGTTGAAAAAGTGCATTGCTTGTGACAGGAAGAAGCTGATAATGCCCAGCTTTTAGGTCCTTGGTCATTGGTTGACCTTCATGGTCAGCTAATTGACCATGTGCGCTGGGAAAATTGGAACCTGCTAGAGCTTCTAATATTATTATTAGTTTTTTTTGTACCTACCAACTTTGGGGTCCTGACTCAGGAGTCAGGATTTGGCATTTGTTTTGTCAGACAATGCAGGTGTTTTAAGAGCGAAGAGAAAAGGGAAAATAGTTGCCTGCTCGTCAGCGAGGGAATCTCAGCCAGTTAGGCGTTAGCGCCCAAAAGAGCGAAATGCGCCGGAAACGCTTCGTTCGGCGCCAGTGCAGCTCAGGGTGGTCTCAGCGCCATTTGAGCCGCGGGGCGACAATCGCGGCGCGGTAAGCTGCAGCTAGCCGTTCGTTAGCCGCGCAAAGCGGCCGGCCGGCACGCTAATGCTGCCAAATGAGCTGTCCCTTGACGACCGTTGTCGCCAGTATGGGGGGAATGGATGGAAGGTTGGGAGGCGTGTTAACGCTTATCGGATGCAGAAGAACAGAGGTCGAGATCTGGGAACTTGGAGGTGACGAGGCGCTTAGTTTGCGGCATCGAGTGAAACTCCCGTGGTTGTTGAGCATGTCAAGCGCTCGTTCGGATAACTGCAGTTTTACCCACAATGTTAAAAATCCATCAGTGACACTAAAAATACGCTGACGCGTGCCTGGATGCATCCGAGCTCCGACTACCTTCTGCAGTCTCTTAGCATCCCCTCACGGGACCGCAGTCCCAAACCGCCACTGAACGTGTCCCACAGACCGCCACACAGTGTCAGAAAATAAAACTCTGGAGGGTCGCTCAACCGACAAAGACAGCAGGGCATCATTGTTCGTGCCGAGTGTCCTTTGTCCTATTCAGACCGGCAGTGGTTCACTCCCGCGGCGCTCGCCCAGGAACCCTGCCGCGGGTATTATAAACGTTATTGGAGGAGAGCGTGCAGCTCCAATGGTGTATTGTGAGCAGCACGCACCGTGCTAACTGTCGCGACTGGTTCTGTTCACCAATCTGGTTAGTGGTTTGTTATATTGTGAGGTGAGCATACACGATGTCACTAATGAAATGATGAATGCCTAAGTTAATACGATGATCATTATTCCTGTCAATCACCAATTTTCCTCGAAAGTAACATAGTTTTGATAATGCGATCACTAGGTACCTACTCCGGTAAAGAAATCAGCACGAGCGTAATTGACATACTCGAGTAGACGATATAAATGATTTAGAGATTTCGTAATGCTAATCAACACAGCTAATAGTGTGCGACAGGTATGATAGATATTACTTAGCTTTACCTGGTAACCTAGTCAAACTGCAGTCATCAGACATGACACTGTTGCGTCGTATTCATCACTTTACCCTCCACGCTCACACACTAAATGCTAAATTCAAATAATGACAAATACCGTTAACTTCAATATCGTGTATAACAATAGCCACACAACAAATTCATGGAAAGATTCTACATTTTAGAGGTATTGCATAATAATATGCAAACTCGTGTAACGTGTTACTACTCGGTAATCAGATAACACTTGACATAAGTATTTGAAGAACAAACACTAGGGCGCAAACGCACGTCACCCAATAGAAGGCAAGCATCATATGAAGCGAAACAGCTTCAAGACACCGTGACTGATAACAGGCTTTCCTCACATGAAATCAAACAACCCTCGCCACATTACCATAGCGAACAGTTTGCGACCACACAGTATCACATCACAGGAAATCCTCATCATCAAAGTCCTCCTCGGGGGCGAACCGGACCCTCTTCTGTGTCTCGGCCGGTGGCTGCGCGCCGCCGGCAGCGGCCATCTCCTCTCTCAGTTTCTGTAGGCCCGTGCGGAAGTCAGTGGTGCTGCGTTTGAGCGGCTGTGGCCCGCGGTAGCTGAGACGGCCCGGCGCGGCGGCGCGGCCCCACTGGCGGCGAGCAGCGCAAGGCGCCGGCGCCGGCTCGGGCAGCGGGCTGGACGGCGGCGGACGCTGCTGGGGGCGCACTGAGGCCAGGGGAGGCGCAGAGGGAGGCGGTGGAGGCGCCGGAGGAGGTGGGGCGGCTGGAGCGGCTGTCGGCTGCCGGCGGGTCATCATCAGAGCGCGGCGCGCGCCCCAGCGACGCTGAGCCAGCTGCGCACGGGACGGTCCGCCACCGCTGCCTGCTGAGGCTGTCGTAGCGGCTGCCGGAGGCGCAGGAGACGTTACACTGGGTGTCGGAGCAGCACCATCAGCCATCGGGTCATCAGACTGATCCACGTCTGAGGCAGACCAGTCCTGCGGCAGGTCCAGCTCCTCGTACCCGTCATCAGCACAGGAAGTTTCCACACCTGCGTCAATGTCAGTTTGTATCGGAGCTTGACGAGGCCTGGGTTCATTCATCGGCGCCGCCATGTGTGTTTTCTCCCGCCACGTCGGTCTCGCCGGTGCGACGCTGACAGGTGACGGTGTTGGCACTCGGCCGGGGCCGGCCTCCTCCCTGAGGGCCCCGGAGCCGGCGCAGTGGTACTGGCCGGCACACCGGGCCGTCGCGCGCATCCGCTGCTTCATCTTCTCCATGTTGTTGAACCAGAGCAGCTGCTCGAGCCGCTGCAGCTCGGTCGACATGGCCGTGGCCGCCGAGCGCAGGCACGTCGTCTCGTCCTCAGCGTCTCCGATGTCGGTGAGCAGCTGCTGCACGTGCCGGCCGTCCCGCTGCTCCTGCACCAGCCGGCAGAGCGTCTGCTGCAGCTGCTGCACGCGGACACGCACCTCCAGCGGCTGCTGCAGGCTCCGACGCCTCGCTTCGATCTCGCTCTCGGTGTCTGCCAGCTTCAGCAGCTCCTGCTGCAGTATTACCTCGTGCTTCTGTAACTCTTTTATAGAGCAAGAAAGCTGCTCTGTGAGCGCCTTTGTTTTAGATAGTTCACTCAGCTTCTCTTGCTTAGCTTCGGTGCGATAAACCCCATTCAAACCAAACCTGTTCAGGTGCTCACCGGCGCTCGTGCACAGTTGATCCACCTCTGACTGCACCTCGGTCCTCACCGTCGCCAGCTCCGTCTCCGCCTCCTGCAGGTCGCGCCTCACGCGCTCCCGGTACTCCAGCACCTTCTTCAGTCGCACGTCCTGCAGCTGCGCGCTGGAGCTCACAGCCGCCAGCTCCTGCTCGGCACGCTCGTGCTCCTCGCCGAGACCCAGGTGCTCCTTTCTCAGGGTGGCGGCGGCCTCCTGTTGGCGTTCGTTCTCCGCACCGACAGCCCTCAGCCGCTCCTGCAGCTCCTGTAGCAGCTTCTCCGACGAGCGCACCTCCTCCAGGAAGGCATCCACGTCACCCTCCATCACCGCCAGGTGCCAGCGGAGCAGCTAGCGTAGCATCTGCGACGGTGACGGGAACCAGAATAACAATATTCTAGGCAAAAAAGTAGCTATGATCGAGTTGAAATTGGGAAATTATGATGAGATATAACCTCCAGCACGCACATTTGAAGCGACTGTGAAAAAATACACCTTCTAACAGGCAAGACAGCAATTCTAACCAAGGCCGTATAATACCTATATAATGTTCCAACTTCAGTGTCCAAGGATGAAGTCGAAACAATCATTCCGCAGCCCCTCGGCTCAATCCCCTACATTACGGGGAGCCTATGTTATGTGTATCAGAGGATCGAGAGAAACGGGCTTTTGTAAATCGGCCGATCTATCAATTATGCCGCAATTCACGATTTAAAACAATGCCTTACAGGCGCTTTAATATGCACATACTCATTGAAAATATATAGAAACCCACATTTCAGGTAGAAAATGTACGGAAACTCCGCAAACTGGAACCACAATTGATTTATTTCTGCGTGATTGTTTGTAAACAACACTCATATGATATTTGACCTTGAATATTTGAGCGAGAAAAGATGTTGCAAAATGATATCAACATTAATTTACCGTGTGAATTCTTAAAATACATGGAATTTATACCTATTTTATTGCATATTAGTCATTCAATACTTTTCGCAACGCCAGGCAAGTGGAATATGGCTTCAGCTTTCTCATACAATATTTCCAATCTGCCTCCCTTCTCTCACAGCGGTCGTGGCCGAGTGGTTAAGGCGTCTGACTAGAAATCAGATTCCCTCTGGGAGCGTAGGTTCGAGTCCTACCGACCGCGAGCTTTTTCAAGTTCGCCCAGCGAATTATTGACCTATCTACCAATCACACCACACACGTCACATGATATGCATAAATGTTCACCTACCACAAATGCTATGCCGACTCCCAGCTGTAATCCCAATCCATCTCCTTAAAGGGAATGGGTCTAGGAGTAGGATCATTCAATCATGAAACATGAAAATCCTGGACAATATAATATACTGGTGACATGAATTATTCATCAGTAGGTGTGCTCGACATTTACAGCTCCATTAAGTCGAAACCCCATTGAACAGCGGAAAGTCGCCTGAAAATATTAACACGCATACCCCTAACAATTTCATTAAGTGCTAAACCGTTACCCAAGCTGAAAAGGAAAGTGCAACACAATCGATTTGGGGAATGGGAATGCTCGAGCAAGAAAGGCATCGAATTTCATGGAAAGGGCGAATGACAAGGCGGACATCACCAGAAAACAACAAGCTAATAGCAGCAACTGAGCGTCAAATATGTCAGTGGGGATGAATATATTCAAGACACAGCGTACCGTTTATCACATAACACAAGAATCGGGACACTAAACCATACATTGTTCGAATACTCTCTGGCAACTGATTTCAGCTGAACGCCGGCGTCAGTTCAAATCAAAGTAGCTCGTGTCTAGAATAAACCAATATAGTCGGACAGTGACAGAGCGTAGCCGCATGGACAACTCGTCTTAAAAAAGTTTAGATGAAAACTGTAACCAATAGTATGTGATAAGTATGGCATATCAAATTCTATAACTTCCAGGATATGTGAAGGTGTATACTGTACATAAATTGATACTTCATGTCTTATAACGAAACAATGCGTTATACTGAGCATTCTTACTTTGTCCTTATGGATTTAATGGTGCAAAAGGACAAATGCTTATGTAGATTAAATCAATAACACATAAGATGGCAGCTTAAGCCGACATGTTTTGTACCAGCACCATACAAGGGAATTGTAACACACAATCGATTACCACAACTGAATATTGACCCGAAAACAATACGTTACCGTCACGTCAAAAGTACGCTGGACCATAAACCGAAGCTCGAACCAATCCTAGGACACACAGGCTGAGAAAATGACTATCACAAAGCCACCACTTCCACACCAATGCCTATCGCCCGAGCCTCACACTCACAGCTTCGCTGAATCTTTCTCACCTACCGGCTACTCCCTCCTAGTCTGGAAGTTTGCCGCCAGATGCCACTAGCATCAGTGTAGATGGCAGCACTGTACGGCGGCAGCGGAAGCGGCGGCTATGCGTCACTGACTTTCACGATCTGTTTGCCGATGTTCCCGCCCGACATCATCGAACAGAAGGCCTTGCCGGCGTTCTCGAGACCGTCCTCCTCTGTCTCAAACACCTGGAAGGAAGTGAAGAACCAGCTGATTCAGCAGGTCTATCAGGTAGCGCCGAGACCGCAGAACACTCCACCGCTAGCCCGACCCGACCCAGTTGGGAAGAGAAGGCCCGGCTGAATTCGAGGACCCGCGGCCCATGAAAACAATAAAGAAGCTCTATGTACGTTATCGGAATAAAAAGGCTCCATGTACGTTATCGGATCATACAATTTATCGGGATAACCAAATAACAACAAAACTTATCATTCAAGCTCCTTACAAGACCCATCCACGACCACAACCACTACAAAAACGACGGTTGCCTTCCGTCAGCCGTGTCCCAATCTGAGCCCGCCACTGAGCCCACAGACACCCACCCACCCAGCTGCTCACTCTGCACCCACCGCACCTCCTACCTTGATGGCTCCGGCGGCCAGCCATCGGGCCAGGCGCGCCACGCCGTCGGCGAACCGGTCCTGATACTCGAGCACGAGGAACCTCTCGCGAACGATACCTCGCTCGTCGACCAGCCGCTGCACCTCGGGCCGTAGCGGCGGCGGGTAGGGTGCGTCCGTATTGTAGGCCGAGATCTGGCCACAGAGCACCACAGCGCCGCCGGGGGCCATCTGAAATAACGAGGGAGGGGGGGGGGGGGGATCAGCCGGGGGTGAGATGGTTGATTAAACCCATACCAGAAATACATCGACTTCTACATTTTGGGAACGGGGCCATGAAGGCAGCTGTATAAAATTGTATCCTTTGGGAAACAAAATGTTTCAAAATACATGCCTTCAACTCAGAATATAAAAAAAAAAACATCACGTGCCACGTCAATAGTGCAAAATCACGACACAATTCGACCCAAACATTACATTTTCAGCTATATTTTCATCTGTATCAAACAAGCGCCAACCCTTGAAAATCAATTTACTGACCCAAACCTTTCCTATTCCGCCCCATACGCCTCTCAACCGACCCTCTCCCCACCCTGACCCTAGCAACCCCTCCCCTCCATCGCACTGACCTGCGCTATGACGGCGTCACTGATGGGTCCTCCGACGTTGTCAAAGTAGCTGTGCACGCCGTCCGGGCAGAGCTCTGCCAGCCGGGCCGAGACGTCCTCCGAGCGGTAGTTGATGGCGGCGTCGAAGCCGGCCTGCGTCGTCAGGAACTGACACTTTGTGTCCGAGCCACAGATACCCACCACCCGGTCGGCGCCCTCCAGTCTGATGGGAGAGGGGAGGGGCATGGGCCAGGGGACACTGGTCATTGGACTGAAGGGTAGAAAGGCGAGGTCACAGACACTACAATCCGCCGGGGAGAGGAGCTGGGGGCCAGAGACTCTCCGGTCTGAGGCCCACAGGCCACAAGTCTCAGGGGGTTGGGGCGCTGTAAAATAGCTTCAACCAGCACAAACTGTTAAAATACGAAAGCATAGCACACAAACCTCAAGTCCACACCCAGTGTTCCCAGTCCCTAGTCTCGACTGTCATCCCAAAGAAGCCAGGAGAAGGACAGTGACATCCAATCACCCACGTCACGGGACTGGGAGTCCGGGACCCACATTGCAAGCACCTGCCGGCCTCCCTTACCCACGCGTTGACACTATACACTATACAGTATACACCCACCTGCCGATTTGGCCGGCAATGTGTCCACAGGCGCCGGCAGCCCCGCTCACTACCAGGGTGCGCCTGATGCTGCCATCTGTAGGCAGTGAGCGCAACTGGGAGCGCTCCGTGATCCCAAACAGGGCCGTCAGCCCGACCAGGCCCAGGCACGAGATAGGCAGAGAGAGCCGCTTACCGACCAGACGCTCGTCCACCTTGGAGGTGTAACAGATGGGGCAAGGTCAGTGCCAGCGCCGATCGTCGCGCCAGCGTGATTCGTGACAGCAATGTCGGCAATGGGCGGCCATCGAACTTCATTTCCTAGCTGCTGGCGTGACACGACCATACTTTCGATTATTATGAAAAGAAACCGCCCACACCACACCACAAACAATCTTTTGAGGGAATATGAAGGAGAAAAAACCTGATTGGAAACCATGAAACATACCAAAATATTAAATTCCATATTTTTTTTCGTAGAGCTGCGTGACTCATATTCTACAGACCTTCATGATCTTGTCGGCCTCGATGGTGAAATAGAGTTTCCAGGGCCACTCGAAGAAGCCGGACATGACGATGTCCCCGGTGCTGAAGCCGTCGTCGTTACTGCTGAGCACCTTGCCCACGCCGCCCAGGCCGGGGATCGCCTGCCCCAGTTGCCATGGCAACAGGTACTCGGCGCCCGTGGACTCGTTCATCTGACATCTCTGCAAGAGTCGATAGCGGGTCTAGTTGGGAAACATCGTATGGGCGGCGGTCTCCATAGCAACCAGAGCGCTCGACAACCACAACACAGCTTTACACGTGAACGATATCACGGTATAGCCTCCGGCCCTACCGCGCTGAAAGCGTGCCAAATGAGAGCGAAATAAAACCTATAGGTGCTAAGCGTAGGAGCGATGATATTGCGGTAGGTATGTAAATGGACACTGGTTAGTGGTTAGGCAGCTGGGCTAAGCAGTAAGCTCATGAACGAGCGAGGATATTCCCCTGGTCAGCTGAAAACTAAGCTAAACTGGGGGTATTAAGATATCATGCTCGTACATAACCCAGCGACAGTTTGATAGAGCGGGGAACGGCTACAGCTGAATAGAACGCCCGTCCGTGACCAGAGGTCTCACACACAGTTGAAGAACATCTCCGTCGGCCGTCACACCCGTACCTGAACGTCCCCGTCAAGTCAAACCCGTACCTGAGCTGGGTCCACGGACAGGTAAAGGTTCTGTACGAGCACGTGACCCGGCGGCGGGTCGGCCGGGTACTCGCAGCTCTCGTACCGGAAGTTGTCCTCGGCAGGTGCGCCGTTGACACCTGGTGCAGAACAGGTAGGGCGTATGTGATACGTAAGACGCAGGAGCATGCCAGGTGGCCACAACTGTCTGTCCCAGAGGAACTAGTGAAGTGAAGTCTGTGAAAGTGTTAAGATATCGCCGACGGTCCTGTCATTCAGCAAACCAAGGTCAAACCAGGACCATTGGCCTATGTCTTCAAATATTGGTCATAAACAAATGGTCAACACTCACCTGGGGGCTTGGCGAACACCACCTGGTAATTCAATAGCTTCATGACAAATGCAGGCTTGTTTACAGCAGTTGGAAATTATCTCATACAGTATCTATGGGGAAATAGATTTAGAAGTAAGTAATACAGAAATGAATGGAGAGACACATGAAACAACATAAACATAAGCAAATCAGATAAATGACAACTTGACAAGTGCTGGGGCAGCGGGGAAGAAGTTTGCCCCGGCCTCAAGCATTTATAATCAAGCATTTATCCTATCAACAACAGGTGAAAATCAGGAGCAGCCAGCAGACATGGATGATGACAAGACTGACAAGAGCAGTGAGCATGATTGATCCAGCATCAGCATGTGCAATGCTTGTCCCACAGTGGACGGTAGTCGGTATGTACGTATTCTTTTTTGTCAAGCGATTCAGATTAACGTTTAAGTGCAGCTCATAACAGTGTGAGTGTAGCTCAATAATAGCTCAATAATAGCTCATCAATAATGCTAAATCATAGCCATATTGTAGACACTCAGTCCATGCTTTATTCTTTCCATTGAATTTATCATTAGCTGATCACATAGCTCAGTTAGTATGGCGTTGGACTCAGTGTGGTGAGAGCACACATTCCAGTTATAACAGTCTGAGGTTCGAGGCGCAGCAGCACGCCCAATGTTTGAAAATCGGTCAAAATCCACAGAATGTACAAACCAAGGCTATGTACAAACACGAAAATGTATCCAGCTCACACAAGACACTTAATCCAAATGACTTTCCAACTGAACCTCCTTTATTTTATTTATGTATACACTGCCTTATTTATGAAATAATGGTTAGGTTAGGTTAGGTTAGGTATATACGGAAAAGAAAGGTCCTGAGGGACCTGGGTGATTTCCGATCAGTGGCATTTCAATGTCTTCTTAGTTCCGTCTTGTTCTCGGTGACTTCGTTTCCTACTCGTCAAGCGTCTTCTTCACTGCCTTGGTCTCAGTTCGTAGACTCGGTGCGCCCAGAACTTGTCAAGTCGATTCTTGAAGGCGTTGACGCTTGGGGCAGATACAACGTCCGCTGGGAGTCCATTCCAGGCCGAGATGACGCGCGAACAGAAGGAGACTTGACGCAGCTGGGTGTTGACTCTGGGCTGTCTCAGTTTCAGACCGTGGTTCCTCGTTCTCTGGGACGGTTCTCGTTCCAGCAGGTCACCAGCTGTCACCTTCAGGCGTCCCGTCAACATCAGATACACTGTGATGACATCACCCCTCAGCCTCCTGTAGTACATGCTGGGGAGCTTCAGTTCCCTGAGCCTGTCCTGGTACTCGAGATGTCGCACGGAGTGGACGAACCTTGTCGCTCTCCTTTGCACCCTCTCCACGGCGTCTTGATCACCTCTGGACGTCGGTCCCCAGACTGAGTTGGCGTATTCTAGATGGGGCCTCACCATGGTCTTGAAGAGGATGGGCAGTGTAGTCTTGTCCAGTGACAGGAATGTGCGCTTGATGAGTCCAAGAATCCTGTTGGCGCGTCCCACTGCTGCAACTGTCTGCTCATGGAACTTGAGGGTATCATCAACGAGCACCCCGAGGTCCTTCTCCTTCTTGACAACGGTCAGCTCAGTCTCGGCCATCCGGTACTCGAAACCAGGGTTTGTGCTCCCCAAGTGCATGACTTTGCACTTACTCCTATTAAAGGGGAGCTGCCACACAGCTGACCAAACCTCCAGTGCTGATATGTCGTCCTGGAGAAGACCTCTGTCAATGTCACTGGACACCCTCCTGTACACCTTGGCGTCATCTGCGAACAGCTTGACGGTGCTGCTGATGGCGTCCGGTAGGTCGTTGATAAATAACAGGAATAAGACAGGTCCCAGGACAGACCCCTGCGGGATCCCGCTGATGACATCAGTCCACTCTGAGAAGTGTCCCTCAACAGCAACACGCTGTCTCCTGTTGCCGAGAAAGGCCTGAAACCAGTGTAACAAGGGCCCATCAACTCCGCAAGCCTTCAGCTTCAGCAGGAGCCTCCTGTGCGGCACGCTGTCGAAGGCTTTGCGAAAATCAAGATAAATGACATCCACAGCACTGCGCTCGTCAACAGTTCTCAGCCAGTCTTCAATTACCACCAGCAGCTGCAGTGCACAGGATCGTCCAGGTAGAAACCCAAACTGGTGCTCAGACAGTACGTTCTCCGTTATCAGGTGATCCAGCAGAGCGTCCCTTACAAAAGACTCCAGCACCTTGCAGCAGATGGAGGTCAAGCTCACTGGGCGGTAGTTTCCAGGCAGACTCCGGTCACCAGCCTTAAAGATGGGCGCGATATTTGCAGCTCTCCAATCCGCCGGGAGCTCTGCGGAGTCCAGCGATTTCTGGAAGATTGTCTTCAGGAGGTGGCTTAGTGGGCTCGCCAGTTCCTTCAAGATCCGTGGGTGGAGCTCGTCTGGTCCTGGGGACTTGTTTATGTTCAGTGCCTCTAGTCTCTTCTTCACTTCTCGTGCAGATATCTCAACCTCAGTTAGTCTGGTACCGTTGAACCTGGAAGTAGCCTGTGGAGTATGTTGATCTTCAACAGTAAACACACCACTGAAGAAGTGACTGAGTGTCTCTGCCTTCTCTCTACCGCTGTGGGCTCTTGAGTTGTCCTCTCTCTTCAACTCTTCTACTCTCGCCTTCGTCTTGAGTTTAGACCTGACATACTTCCAAAAGCATTTAGGGTTCCTTGTGACATTCTTCGCCAGGTTGTTCTCATGTTGTCTTCTAAGTTTTCTTGACAGCTTCCTTAAGTCATTCTTTGCCCGTTTGAAATCCGCCAACGACCTTCCATCTCCAGAGCGGCGGTAGAGTCCATAAGATGGTCCTTCTTCCTCTTGGCTCGTATCAGCTTGTTGTTACTGTATGGTTGTCGCTTGTTCCTTACAGTCTTCATTGGTATGTACCTTGCTTCGAGACACTTTATCAATTCCTTTAGACAGTTCCAACCCTCTTCAACTCCTAGGTTCTGCACCCTGTGACTTATATCTGATGTTTCAATATCATGGGCCATGCTTTCAAAATCCGCATTTCTCATATCCTTCACAAGAGCACGCTTCGAAGATACATCAGCATAACATCTTATCTTGAAAATCAAGCAGTCATGGTGGCTGTTTCCAATAGGTGGCCGGTGGTTCAGGTCCTGTATCATGCTCTCTTCTGACGTCAAGACCAGGTCCAAGAGACTTGGTGTTCGGTTGGGCATGAAGTGGGTTGGTGAACACACATGTTGACTCAAGAAGCAGTGCTGGATGGTTTGGATGAACTTGTGCGTGTAGTGCTGGTCTCCTGCAGTTGACATTCCCAGACTCCAGTCAATTTCTCTGTAGTTGAAATCGCCAACTAGTACAAGGTGACTTGGCTGACTGTCACACACCTCCTCCAACAGGGTACACAGGGCCTCTGTGGATCTATGGCCGTCCCCGCTGGGGCTCCTGTACACAGCACCGAGCACTAACATGTCGCTGTTCCTCAACTTAAGCTTAACAAACACAGCTTCTTGAAAGAGACTGCCAAACTTGACCTCTGCTGGCCTTAGCTCACACCGTACCATGATTCCGACACCTCTTATGCTTAGCAGTCCCAAATTCTCTAGTTCCGGATCAAAGTTGAGATATGTTGTGTAGTCTTCTCCAACTGAAAAGAATGACAGTGACAGTGGTCTTCGTTGCGCTTTAGGTACACATTCAGTGAGGACCACTATATCTGGCTTATCATCTTCAATTCTCACCAACAGTTCATCCATCTTGTTTGGGAGCCCATCTATGGAGTGTACATAACTTTTAAAACCTTAGGTACCTCAGCATGCAACACGTCACCCAGGTTTGTGCCATTTACACACACATTCTGGATAGGTGCTGTGAAATTGTTGTCATGCAGCATGGGACAGGTCACATTCAGGCGGTAAAATACAGTTCTCTATATACCGTGGTAAAATATCTATATTCTATATCAAAATTCAAATCCTATCCTGAGTCACTCAAAGGAACGCTATGTTCGAAAACAGTAAATACCCACCTTAGAAATTAATCTTTTTCATGTTACCAGAGGGGTGTTCACGGGCACCGCACACTGCTGCGTGCGGTGTGTGCGGTACGTCCAGCAGGCGTGGGGGTAGGGGATGGGTAGGCGGTTCTGACGTCACGGCTGCGTGCGGTGGACGGTCCGCTGTGGCCAGTCCCGACCGGCCACAGCGGTCGCTGTGTGCGGTGACGCAAGGCTGACGTAGGGGCGCAGTGGGCGGAGCTTGGAGGCTGTGTGCGGTCCGACCGCACACAGGGTCCGTGAACAGCCCTCCGGGCAACGCGTTGTGGAAAGGGGAATATTTGTTTCTGGTCCCTAAAAAGCTGTTTCTGGCACCTAATTGCTGATCAGCCCCAAAATGCTTATTCGACCCTAATATCTGAATCTGGCACCTAATTGCTTCCACACAGCCTAAAGTTGCCAGATCGTCTAGTTGAACTCCGTATTTGCTGTTTGCTGATTCAGCACCAAAACCAAAACATCCAGCACCTATTTTATTCCACGTTTGCCTACCTAATTCGCGTAATCTTCCTGATTTTATGTATCCTAACAAACATGAACGTTGCATTCGGTGATGTCAAGTGCCATTTTCGCCAGTGGAGATAATGATTAATGCCATTTCTAGCCAAAAGAGAATCAAAAGAGCCAGCTATGGTGCAGCATAGCAAGACGCTCCTATACCAGCCCGCTAGGTAGAGACTAGAGATTATTGCACCCTCAGCCATTTTAACGTGAAAAGTTTGGATCCGTCACTTCCAGCCAGGCTCTCAGGTCATAAACTGGAGTAAAGCAAAATGTAAACTCTGAACAGATATGCCACGCAACCGGCCCTCTTTTCAATATTATTAGCTTTCTGCAATCATCGTCTGACTCCATCTCGATCAAACGCAGCATCCGGTTTCTACAGGGGCGTTTGACTGACCGGCCACACAATAACCAAAAACAAAATCAAAGCTTCATGCACACATATGACATAAGTAAGAAACGGATGAAAAAGGCACAACCACGGCACAACTCTGCGCGGCAAACAACGGACAATGTCCCACGCAAGATCCCGCGTTTCTTCAGCGGCCTTGAACGGAATGAAAACATTACATTTCTTTTTTGGAACTATTTGATGACGTCAAAAGATACAATACCCGTTTTAATGGTCAAAATCGAGACAATTACTCACAAAAATGTTCCCCTTTAAGCATTACAAATAAATGCTTTTAAATATTTAAATGACATTGTTTTTTTCAAACAAATCAATATTATTTGCTTACTTAAACGTCATATACAATGCTGAGATCACTACGGGGCTGTCTTAGAGTGTAGCTGCACTGGCAACCTTTGGGCTAGACTCCAGGGGTCATTATACCAGAACAACATGATTCTACCAGCCAGTAGTTCATTTTTCTACTAGATTGGTGCTACGCTCAGCATTTAGGTGCCAGATTCAGAAAAAAGAGTAAGGCGTACCGATGAATAGGTGCCAGAAACAGCTAATTAAGGTCATTTTCCATGATTGGTGCTGGTATCCACCAAATAGGTGCTGAGGACCAATTTTGGGGCGAGTCAGCTTTTAGGTGCCAGGAATAGCTTTTCTGGGACGCAATTAAATGGCGTCCTTGTGGAAATAGCTGTTTATTGAGAAATTTGCCTGTTGCTATGCAACTGCCGTTTGATTACAAATTCCTAGAACAGAGCCTGCTGCTTGTCTATGAATCATCTGCGCCTTTTTTGTATAAACTTGAGTGATTTTGTCGTCGTGGGAGGGGAGGTGTGGAGAATTTCAATTTGTCGCGAAAGCTTGCTGAATTTACCTTACCTTACCTTACCTTAATTTGATCGGAATTTAGAGGCCACTTGGCCTGTAGGGAACCGTTCTCATCGAGCTCGTGACCTTTTTGGACCTTTCTAGCTCCTATCAGGTACCATGTACCTGATGTTTGCCCAGTGGGCATCCAATCTTGATTTGAACTGCTCGATATTGGCAGCGTCAACTACCGTCTGCGGCAAGCCATTCCAGTCATTGACTGCCCTCACACTCAAGGCCGTATATAGGAGGTAACAGCATTTCGCGTTTGTTTACTTTTGCTCAGCTGACGAAAATGACGTCACTGACTTTCTGAAGCTCGAGGCCGTCATTCGGCTATTGCGTAAGAGCATCTTCAAAAACTTCAAAACATCGGGGAAAATACGTCGATTTCATCGATTTTTTTCGTTCAATGATACTTTAGAGCGACTTGTGAACACATGTTATTCGTTTAAAATTTCGAAACTGTCTGACTTATACATACTCCCGACAATCACAATCATGGAAGGTAATGCACTATGAAAATCCACGGCAGAGCTGGGCTAATGTCGGTCGGCAGGGAGCCAGGGATCGTTATCCGCGTATGTTTGTCCAGGTTGTCTAGGTCCGGCCGAGAGGCTATGCAGCGCCGCGGAGACGTTCAGACGGTTGTTGTTCCTACTGCGTGGCAGCGGCGTGCCTCCCTCGGACCTGATCTACGAGCCGTGCGCCGAGCCCGGGGACGATCCGACCGACAGCGCGAGAGCGAGTGCGGCGTGGCGGCCATGGTGAGCTCGCCGGCGTCGGGCGCCCACCACTCGGTGGGCTCGGTGCGCCGCACACGCCACACCGTGTGCATCTGCATACTCCTCTGCTGGTCATAGGCGACGCACAGCGCCGGCCGCCGGCACACGCACACCACCGAGACCGGCTGTTCGTGGCCAGAGACGGCTCACAGCTGCCTATCCTGATGATGTGCGGCGCGACGTCGTCTGGTGGGTGGAACAGGGAAAACAGCGTCGGCAGATTGTCCTCTGTGACATGTCCCAGGGGTAGGAACCTTAGTGGCTAGTCACCAGATGTCTCTGAGGGAGCACAGCAGTCACCATACGGTGATCTATTAGACTGTCAGTGTCCTCAAGAATTCAAGATCACCAAACGGCCAGTTTGGCCAATCACAACACCGTGCCGAAAAGTGACGCCGATGGATGAAGTACCCTACCACAGTACCCTCTAGATCACAGGCATCAGAATACTAGGATTGAAGTACAACATCGGTCAGCCGCCTCGGGCATCATTCGTGATGACGTCCACATCAGGCCGCGGAAAACATCACGGACGGTCATAGCACATTACAAATAGTAAGTAGAACTAGGAACTGCTTCAACAGAACGAAACTCAATCAACATCAAAAGCATTTCACAGCTTTCAGTATCACAAACCGTAGTGTGAAACAGTTCACCGTGTTCACAGCAGAGACAACATCTGTAAGAAACTACTCATCTCTAATAACAATCTCTATGTAATGTCCACCTGGCTGGACACACGAGTCACATCCGAACCTCCCAAGCTCATCACCTGATCAGATGAGAAACCCTCTCCAGACACACCGTCCCGTCCCTTCTTAACCGGTTCCCGGCCCTGGCGACATCAGGGCCGGCCCGACCCGTTCCCTGTACTATCTGGCTCTGGCAATGGCACTGAGCGTCCAGTAGGTTGAACATTAGAATGTCAGGGTGTCACCACCATCGCCCCTTCCCTCTGCGACTCACTGCCACTCCCCCTCCTCCCCAGTTCACTAGACCCGCCGCGGGTTAGCCGCCCTGTGGCGTGGCACCGGCAGGGGCGGACTCAGCCGAACTCGTCCAGTAGATCTCCCGCCCGTGTGCCGTCCGTCCGGTGGAGAGGCCGACAGGACCGGGCATCTCTCTCGGTAGTCGCCTGCCCAGCTACCCGGTCGGCACCGCTGACTGAACCTCCAGCGCCGCCTCCACCGCTACTGTGTACACCCTCCTTCCGCAACGGTGGAGACAGGTACACCAGCTGGACCACCGACTCCCGCGCACAGTCCAGCAGCGAGGTCTGTCCAGCCCCGTCTGTCGGCGGTTCACTGAACCTCCAGAGACGGCCGCACTTGAGTCCATGCCCTCGCTGATCCGAGAAACATCTAGGTGAGCAGAGTCATCAGCTGAGTGACTGTCACTAGAGGTCCTGCCACCGTTACACTTACGACCCCCCACCGGAGCCAGTACCAGATGTCGAACTAGGTAGGCTGTTGAAGCAGCGCACGGCCGCGGCTGACTCCGATATCACTCGGCTGGAACTCTCGTCCTCGGCGTGCCGCTGCTCGGCACGGCGGGGCGAGACAGCGACCGCAGCAACCACCCCACCGTCTCAGAGTCACTCACCCCGACCGGCTCCGAGTCACGCGACTCAATCATTCAACACTCGCCCATCACCCGTCTCACTCGCCCATCACCCGTCGAGAATCACCCGTCGCGCCACCACACCGGCCGCACACACGAGGAGCGCACCGACCGGCCCCATCCGGCCAATGTCAGCCGGCCAACTGGCGGGGTCACAGGTTGGCAGGCGGCCAGGCGCCGCCGCTCTGTCCAAACAGAAGTATGCACATTGCACATCCTATAATGTCCGAAGGCAACGTGCCGACCGACGGCCTCGTCTGCGTAGGAGGTGAGCGCACCGACTACCGCTTGCTCTTCGCGTGTTGGGCTAGCTTCCTCAGCTGGTACTTTTCCGCTTCAGCTGCTGCTCGAGCGGTGTTGAGCCAGCGGAGTCGCAGGTGCAGCCGCGTGCTTGCCAGCTTCCTGGCGATTCGCTCGTCCAGCCCTGGAGCTCGGGCGAGCACGCAGCCTGTCAGGCGCTTCACGATGCCAGGCGTCTTGACCGCGGTCGGCCCCATCACGTCACTGAACGTGTCGTTGAAATCTTCCACCACGCCCATCCACCACTGGCTGGGGACGTACAGGCTGCCGCGGCTGATTGTCTCCAGCCAGCGGCTCGGTACGGACGCTGGCGCCAGAGAAGACGAGGTCGGTTGGCCGAGGTCGCCGCGGATCTGCCGGCATTTGAATGCCACATAGCCGGCCACGAACGCGAGCGCCTCGCGGTTGACGCCGAGTTCAGCGGTCCGCGGTCGAGTATTGGATGGCCCGGCCTCTTCTGTGTCCGGACTGTTGTCCTCGTGAGCAGGAGGGGCGGGTGGCAGAGGCGGCTGGCCCATCGCCGACTGGTAGGCGGCCTCCCATTGCTCGTGCTGCTCGGCAGCCTCCTCGTCGGCTGGATCGCGAAGCTGAAACGAGACAATGCATCAATTACGATTGATTCAGAGTATATGGCCGATCTGGTTTCTCACTACCGTGATGACGAGTTTCTTACGTATCGCTGGGTAGGAGACAAACATTGTTTATTGTTTATTCACTGTATCGCCGACAGACATAATCCACTTAGAGGCGAAGTCAGTAGTTAAAACACTGTAGCTCACGCTAAAATAAATACTACATCAGAGCTCGATGATATAAGTGTGTGTAAACATGCAAGCATATCTAAAAATAACAGTACTTATAAGAGTAAAGGTGAAATTTAAATTTAATGGTGAAATTTAAAGGTGAAACCGATTATATTAAAATGTTCACGAGTCTGAAATAAGGATTTAAATTTGATGAAACATAGGACATAGGTAGTATTACCTGCTGTCGCTGCCACTGATCTCCATCTGTCCAGGCCCTTGTTCAAGAAGCTGTTTTACCACCACCCTCTCCTTCCTCTGCTCGAGTCGGCCTCCCCTGGTGTCATCTCCTGGCCTAAACAAACAGAGATAGAACATTTATTTTAGATTACAATAAAAATGAAACACCTTTAGCCTGACAGCAAAATGTGGCAGATTTAAACAAGATCTGAATAATGCAGACATCAGAACAGGGCAGGTTTCAGAATTCAGGGATGTCAGGGCAAAAGGGAGAAGATCTGAGGCAGAAAAATGGGAAAAGAAGTAGGAAGCTTGAGTATCTCTGCAGGGTCCGGGCAGAGGAGATCAGTGCACATTGGGTGCGATTTTGTGCTTTCAGCCCAGAACAGTGTCAAGCTCCCTGCCATAATTTGCAGACTGATCCTTCAGTACAGATGAACCACAAAAACTGGGCCCTGTTCTTGAGCACCCATGAGGTAGCTACCTACTGTGAAAGTTGAAACTTACAAAATTATGAAATTGACGGTGAACCAGGAATGATGTCAAGGAAATTAAGAAAGTAGGAGGGGCATGTGATATGATATCAACAGGCTGTAATGAGCCTATGTGCCTCAGTGGTGGAAACAATCCCAACTGCAGGCACGGCATACATCTTATTCTAACGACAAAAGAACACAAAGAAAAAACCTGACGTACAACCATATTCATAAAAGCTAATACTCAAACTACCTTATCATGGGCAACATGAGTTTTAACATTTAATAAAAACACACCTTGACAGTGATGAGGCTGAGGGTAGGTTCCTTGAAGGGATGGCATCTGGTTTCAGTGAAGGCTTCACATTTGGCATCAGAGTTCTCTTGACTAGATATGATGGATCATAGTCAGTCTCAACAAAGTGTTCAGAGCACACAACAGCGTTTTTTTTTACATTGAATTGATCTTGGCGGTAACACCTATGTCAATGTGCACCCACGCAGCCTGGACTTCGGGATTCTTTGGAAATCTAAAAAATGAGGCTTCAGCTTTCTTGTTCGACCAACCTCCACTCCAGACCTTACATGTAGCTACAGCACAGGCTGGCATCTTGATTCAGTTATCTAAAATAAAATCTTACATTTTAAAGCATCACAATCTCAAAACAACATCAATCATTGAAATGACAACATGCATATTTCTGTCTACATAGGGCCTTGATATTTCTGCAGAAAAATTCAAATCGGTTCATGTCACACACGCGCCATATACGCAGAAGACTTGTTAAGCTGCCTTAAACAGCTGCAAAATAACTCACTTTGTGCTTAAGTTACTGCTACGCTTTATCGCAGAAACCAAGTAAAACAACACACTGGTATCTTTAGACAATGTGAAAAACGCACAATTCAATCGATTTGGACCAAAAACTGCGAAATTTATTTACCAAAGCCCTCAGAAAACGGGAAAGAAGCGGAAACGCAGTGACGTCATATGGGCCGGAGTGCACCGCCGGAGCCTTCCCTATGGCTCAACATAAAGTCGGAAGCCCCTGCTCACACTGAACGATTTCCTCCTTGGTCTGGTGGTGGCTCTGGGCTTCTGGACCTTCTGCGAGTGGCCTCGAGTACGACCGTCGGTGGAAGCAGTAAAGAACTCTTCCGGAGCCAGGTCAACACCTCCATGCATCAGTTGGTACATTTGGATCATATCGCCTCGCCGCCGCCGATAGAACAACGAAGGCAGCTTCAGTTCTCGTAGGCACTCTTCATAGGGAAGGTGTCTGATTTGGGTTACCAGGCGCGTCGCTCTCCTCTGGACACGTTCGATCAGGAGTTGGTCGGAGCGATTGAATGGGCCCCATGCCACGTTGCCGTATTCCAAGTGTGGGCGCACAAGTGTTTTGTACAGCAGTGGGAGGGTGGACTTGTCGATAAGCTCGAATGACCGTTTTATGATTCCTAGGATCTGGTTGGCCTTCGCCGCAGCAGCAGCAGCCTGTTTGCGGAACTTGAGCGATGAGTCCACGAAGACACCAAGATCGCGCTCGGCTTCGACCACCTCCAGCTCAACTCCTCGGATGGCATATTTGACCCGAGGGTTGTTGCGTCCCAGGTGCAGGATTTTGCATTTCCCCTCGTTGAATGGGAGCTGCCAGCGGTCGGACCATGCCACTAGATCATCAATGTCGCCTTGGAGCGATGTCGTTACCGTTGGGTCTCGCGCCAGCTGCATGGGCGATGGTTGGGCAGAGTGGTTCCTGACATCTCCGTTAGGAGAGACAGCCACCTCTCCCTCCGCATCAGCCTGCGGCAGAGTACTGACGGGGTTACGATTTTGCTCATCACTCGCCGGCTGGGTGTCTTGGGTGGGGTGGTCTCTGCCAGCTCTGGATTGAGCGACAGCCAGCCCCGCAACCTCGGCGGCTACTGAGCGGGAGACACTTTCTTGCTGTATTGACCGGTAGAGCTTCGTATCATCAGCAAACAACTTTACTGAGCAGTCGACCACAGAGGGTATGTCGTTAACGAACAGCAGGAACAAGAGGGCCCCAGAACTGAGCCTTGAGGTACACCACTCCTGACGGCAGTTGGTTTCGAGTGGCATCCGTTCACGACCACTTCTTGTTTGCGCCCGGATAAGAAGACCTCAATCCACTTCAAGAGTTTGCCTGAGATCCCAAAGCACCTAAGCTTTTTCAGAAGTCGGATGTGTGGTACCGCGTCGAACGCCTTACGAAAATCCAGGTATGCCACGTCAACCGCATCTCCTTGTTCGAGCATCTTAGTCCAGTCCTCCAGCACCTCCAGCAGCTGGGAACAGCAGGACCTTCGGGGACGGAACCCATGCTGGTGTCTAGACAGCTGGCCGGTGGATGTCAGAAATTCGACCAACTCATCGCGCACTAGAGATTCCATGACCTTGCATGGGATGGACGTCAGGCTTATGGGTCGGTAGTTCCCCGGGGTACTTCTGCTTCCCTTCTTGTGGATTGGAACCACTGTAGCTGACTTCCAAATCGAGGGGAGAATACCTTGCTCCAGGGATTCGCGGTACAAGTTGGACAGCGGGCCAGCCAAGGCCGCGGAGGCAAGCTGCAACAGTTTCGGATGCAGGCCGTCAGGACCAGGGGCAGCGTCAGTCTTCAGGTTGTCAAGTTTATGTCGAACTGCTTCGGCTGTAATAGGGACTGTATCAATGGGCGTACCAGCAAACTGGCTGGTTGGCTCTGGGATGGTGGACAGATCCTCATCAGTGAAGACGCTACTAAAGAAGGCGTTTAGGAGTTGCGCCTTACCGCTGTCGTCGCACACAATGGAGCCAGAGGCATCTATGAGGTTGTCAAGTCCCGCCTTAGTCATCAGCCTTGAATTCGAGTATCTCCAAAAGACCTTAGGATTGGTTTTTAGGTTCTTGACCAGGTTTTCCTCGAGGTCTCTCCTCAATTTCCTTGTCAGGGCCCGCAGTTGGTTTCTGCAACGGGAATATCGGGTGAAGTCGAGAATGTTTTGGGTCTCGGAGTAGATCGCCCATAGCCTCTCTTTTTCCTTCTTAAGTCGCAGAGCTTTGCCATTTATATACATGTTTTTACGGCTGTCTTTTCTCTTGCTTCTTGGGAAACACTCTAGAGCGCTTGAACGTACACAATCCATGATGAACTGGTATTTTTCCTCGATTGCCAGAGGCTCTATTGAGTCCCAATCGGCGTCCTGAACCATCTCGATGAACTTCTGTGGGTTCCCCTTGAAGTAGTTTGGATGATCTGCTGCAGGGACTTGTTGGCAAGTGTAGCAGAACAGGTCGAACCGCAGTATGACGTGATCGCTTTTCCCCAGGCCGGCTTCGTGTTTGAGGTTTCGTACCATACCGTCCTCATTTGCTATAATCAGGTCCAATATGTGAGGGGTCTCACCAGGACGGAAACGGGTAGGTTGGGAGACCTGCTGTCTGAGGAAACAGTCGTCCAGGGCCTCGAGGAACTTGTGCGAGATGTCCAGTGGCGGGGCTGGGGAGAAGCCACTCTCCCAATCGATTTGGGGCATGTTGAAGTCTCCCCCGATAAGTACATGTGAGTGACCCGACTCAAGAGCAGAGTGCAGGAGATGGCACAGCTCATCAGCTCCGTCTCTTGTGTTTAGTGAAGGGCTTCTGTACACACAGCCAATTAGTAGTTTGTCATCATTTGCCAGAGGAAGTTGCACCCACAGCTGTTCAATGAAGGTCGTTGGGCAAAGTGTTATCTCTGTGGCTTGGAGAGAAGTCCTGATGTATATGCTGGCTGACACCTCTGAAACCACTGGAACCCAAGTCAGACTGTGAGAGATCAAAATTGGTGTACAGTGTGAAACCAGGAATGGAAATCAATGCCTCGCCAATGGGTGATGACTGTGCTTTTGGGATTACTTCTGTGATCAAAATAGCGTCTGGTTCATCGCCGGCAATTTTCATGCAGAGCTCATCTCTTTTATTTGGAAATTGGTCAGCATTGGTGTAGAGGACATGCAGGCCTGGCTTCTCTTGTTGCTTGACTTTCCTTGCTAGTCAATCTTCAGTGAAGATACTCCCCTGATGTACATGCGTTGTGTCTTGTGAGCCCAGGGCGGAGCGGCGATCGTCGGCCTCCGCAGGAGCGACAGCCGCCTCCCCAGCCTCCATGCCAGCAGAGCGGTCACTGACAGCTCCCACGGAGGCGACAGCCACTCCAGCAGCCACTCCAGTAACAGCCTGGGGAACTTGCATCTGACTTTTGTTGGGAGCCTGGGCAGTCTGAGCGGAGCGGTAACTGCCAGCCTCCGCAGGAGCGACAGCCGCCTCCCCAGCTTCATTGCCAGCAGAGCGGTCACTGACAGCTCCCACGGAGGCGACAGCCGCCTCCGCACCAGCACCCACCACATCAACTTGAGCTTGAGTCTGCCTCTTGTTTGATGCCTGGGTAGGCTGAACAGAGTGGTTACTGCCAGCTCCAGAGGGAGCGGCAGCCAGCTCTGCCGCCACAGCCCGCACAGTTTGGGTAGAAGTTTTCCGCGTCTGCCTCTCTGTCTCTGTACCTGGATTCAGCGTGACTATCTTGCCATTCCTGATAGTGAGGTTGGTTTCACCAGCACCTTTGCGTCTGTGCAGTTCGTCTCTCAGCTTCTTGTTGGCCTCTCTTTCTTTCTTGGTCAAATCCGGAGTCACATAGATGTTCACAAACTTATCAGAGTGTCTGAGCTGGGGAGCCAGCTTGAGGATGTCATGTTTCGTCGAGACACTGTCCAGGGTGACTATTAGCAGTCTAGACTTTCCCTCTACTTTCTTTCCCACTCTAAAGGACTTTTGAACATTGACATTCAGTTTCATTTCCTCCCTAATCATCATCCTGAAGAGTTCTGCATCATGAGAAGCCCTTTCAGCCAGGGGCCCTGAACACTGTTCGGGCAGGTTGTGGACTACTAGGTTTGATTTTCTCTTCTCCTTGTCCATGTAGTCATCCAGGGCACCAGTTAATTCCTGGGCAGCTACCTTACTTGCTCCCAGCATGCCAGCTTTGGGAAGCGTTAAGATCTGGTCACTTACCTTCCTCACAATGTCTTCACATGACCCTTTCACCATGTCTGCATATGATCTTTTACAGTTCTCGTTTTCCTTCAGTGACTGGTCCATGATAAGGGCGCTTTTCTCCTCCCTGGCTTTCAGATCTGCAAGCTGCTTCTCGAGGGCTGCCTGCTGTTCCTTCAGGGAATTCTGAACCTCAGAGAGATGATTACGAAGGGTCACCTCCAGTGACGCAACCTTGTCAGCTAGGGATTTGAAGTTTGTCTGCTTTTTGTTTCCTTTCAGTTCATCTTTGCAACTAGTGCACAGCCAGGCCAGCACCTTGTATCTCTCCAGGGCTCTCCAAGCTGGTTTTGAGATTCCCTGACAAGACGAGTGATACCAGTCGTGGCACCTATCGCACAGAACGCCTGACTCACCAGTTTGAACAGCTTGCCCGCATGTTTTACCAGGTCCACCCTTGCATACAACTCCTTCGCTACCCGCACTAGTGTCACTTGAGGATCGAGAGATGGATACAGAATTGTGTTCCCATTTTTCATAGACGCTATCGTCCAGCTTACCAATGGCCTTGCGGCCATGAGATCTATCCATACCTGTATCAGTTGGCTGTTGGGTATCTGGCTGGGACTTGCTTCCAGCTTTTTCCTCTTCCTGCACTGCACTATGCAACTGGAATCATGCCTGTTCCAGCGCCTCCAGTAGAAATTCTTGACTGGAGGCTCTACCAGAGGTTTCACTGGAGGCGCTGGAACGCAATCTGGAGATTTCTGGAGATTGGTGTCACAGATACCAAAAGAATGACCATTGTTCTATCTTGAAACACAAAATTTGTTTTCAATTTAAGAAAGAAAGATTAACAAAATTATAGCAATGTTATTTTCTTTACATTCAAGTTGTAGAATTAGCAGTCAAAAGTCCTTTGTTTACATTCGTGATTGTCACATGTGCCCCATAATTGTAGACCAGAGCCTCCAGATAAATTGGGACCTCATAGGGGTAACTTGGTCACCGGACCCCTGGGATTCCGCTGAAAATCACTACATAGGGGTAACTTGGGGCGTAGAGTCGCGTGGTGCAATCCGTTAAACCCTACACCTAATACTTTTCCCGCTAGAGGGCAGCAAAGTTCCAGCGACAGATTCGCCGGACCCCTAGGAATCCGCTGAAAATCCCTACATAGGGGTAACTTGGGGCGTAGAGTCGCGTGATGTAATCCGTTAAACCATACACCTAATACTTTTCCCGCTAGAGGGCAGCAAAGTTCCAGCGACAGATTCGCCGGACCCCTAGGATTCCGCTGAAAAATACTACTTAGGGGTAACTTGGGGCGTAGAGTCGCGTGGTGCAATCCGTTCAACCCTACACCTAATACTTTTCCCGCTAGAGGGCAGCAAAGTTCCAGCGACAGATTCGCCGGACCCCTAGGATTCCGCTGAAATAGGGGTAACTTGGTCGCCGGACCCCTGGGATTCCGCTGAAATTCACTACATAGGGGTAACTTGGGGCGTAGAGTCGCGTGGTGCAATCTGTTAAACCTTACACCTAATACTTTTCCCGCTAGAGGGCAGCAAAGTTCCAGCGACAGATTCGCCGGACCCCTAGAATTCTGCTGAAAATCCCTACATAGGGGTAACTTGGGGCGTAGAGTCGCGTGGTGCAATCCGTTAAACCCTACACCTAATACTTTTTCCGCTAGAGGGCAGCAAAGTTCCAGCGACAGATTCGCCGGACCCCTAGGATTCCGCTGAAAAATACTACATAGGGGTAACTTGGGGCGTAGAGTCGCGTGGTGCAATCCGTTGAACCCTACACCTAATACTTTTCCCGCTAGAGGGCAGCAAAGTTCCAGCGACAGATTCGCCGGACCCCTAGGATTCCGCTGAAATAGGGGTAACTTGGTCGCCGGACCCCTGGGATTCCGCTGAAATTCACTACATAGGGGTAACTTGGGGCGTAGAGTCGCGTGGTGCAATCTGTTAAACCTTACACCTAATACTTTTCCCGCTAGAGGGCAGCAAAGTTCCAGCGACAGATTCGCCGGACCCCTAGAATTCTGCTGAAAATCCCTACATAGGGGTAACTTGGGGCGTAGAGTCGCGTGGTGCAATCCGTTAAACCCTACACCTAATACTTTTCCCGCTAGAGGGCAGCAAAGTTCCAGCGACAGATTCGCCGGACCCCTAGGAATCCGCTGAAAATCCCTATATAGGGGTAACTTGGGGCGTAGAGTCGCGTGGTGCAATCAGTTAAACCCTACACCTAATACTTTTCCCGCTAGAGAGCAGCAAAGTTCCAGCGACAGATTCGCCGGACCCCTAGGAATCCGCTGAAAATCCCTACATAGGGGTAACTTGGGGCGTAGAGTCGCGTGATGTAATCCGTTAAACCATACACCTAATACTTTTCCCGCTAGAGGGCAGCAAAGTTCCCTACATTACTTTAGCGGTGGGCTGTACATGTCTAAGGCATTGCCGTCCCCTGCTGTAAGCCACCCGAGGGACAACTTTTCCGGACAACTTTTATTTCAGTCCCTCGTAAACCAAAAAAAAAAAAAAAACGTAGAAATGCGTCACTTTATTCAACATAGCCATGTCGGTACCAAAATGATGTTACGGTCTCAAAACTATGAATACTGTTGCGCAACAAAATGTTGTATTAGTGGCGAAAGTTTGGTTTGGTTAGCTTTATAGGAACGGGAGATATAGACCTTCAAAGTTTGAAATGTTTTTATTGGGCCACCCGGTACATACTCAATTTTTAAAAGGACTTATATCGTTTTTGGATAGCCTCTAACAACTTGCATGATTTGTATCACCTTGTTATGGCATTTCCAAAATATTATGTCTCTTACAGGACGTGTAGTAAACAGTCGTGTGTCATGGAGGCTGGCGAGCGAGACCTTCCACGATGGATCGTTTTGGAGGTGAGTTTCTCCTGAAGTTCGAGGTGGGAGTGGGCGAAATGGGGCCAAAGGATAATACGCCAATGTTTTACTTGGAAATCTCTTTATCTCTTTGCAGCCTTCAAAGGGGAGGTGCTTCTCGGCACAAAATCTACCGTTTTGGGACAAAACTTCCTTTTGCCCGCATGTCCGACAGTTCCTCAGGTTTCAAGGGTCTTTTGGATTTAGTTGACATGTGTTTCAGAAAACCTGTTTGCCTTTAATTGAGGCCCAAGCTAAGCTTCCGTCAAGTGGCCGTGTTTAAAAAAAAAAAAAATTCGCCACATTTTTGCACAACATCAATTTGATTCATAGTGAACCTCCAAAGTGAATGAATAGTGCGCGGAAAAGCAGAATTTGATCATGGGCGTATGCACAATCGTTGACTCTAAATATCAATATGTGCGAAATTTCATGGGTCTGTGATCATTCACCTGAGATTGGCACTTGTCAAAATTTTGTGCAAAAAAAAAAATAGGTGACACCCGTCATATGCCCCATCCCTATGTAATATATTTGACCCTCGGCCACAATCCTAACATCATGTTCCTTTCTTGCGCAGGACCTCCGACGTGTCCTCCTGTCCATCCATCTCCGCTCATCCATCGGCGACTGGCTGTTTTGGAAGCAAGTGGTGAGAATATTGATGGAGCAGAAAAACCAGAAGCAGCGTAGGCTGAGTTATAAGCGTGCTCTGATACTATTCATGACGTATAGACGAGTTAAGTGGTTTAGCAGATGGGTGGAGAACCAGATGCGAGAACAGCGCGAACTTGAACCCACGTTTAGCAACTACCAAAGAATCCCGGAGAAAGGATTGGGTGTGGACTCGGCAACCTCTTCAACGTACGCACCACAAGGTAGTCAGCACAAGGAATGGCTGCGCCAGTCGAAGGACCATGTATCAGAAGCACAGGAACCAACTCTGATTGACCACTTCAGCGCCCCTGACCTTTCGCCAAGCCCCTTGTCAGTGATGTCCGAGTTGGAAGCGTGTGGAACACGAGTGCCGGGGTCTCCTGGGAGGACTTCAGAAACATTGGAGCACATGGTTTGTGCATCCAGCCCAGCTCTACTCGAAGCAAACAGCAGTCGTAGGACAAGTGCCGGAAGTTCACCATTGCGTAATGTGGAGATGGATGGAGCGCTCTCGTCGAGTCCCGCCTATGACTGTCTTGACGAGTCCGGACACCTCGAACAGAAGCACTGTGCACGTAAACCAGATCAACCTGAACTCCACAGAAGTCCAGAGCGATCGCCTAAGAGCTCACCAAAGTACGCCGCTGAACTGGACGATACAACTCCTATGCCGAGTCCCATGCGTGACTTTCAAGAACCCGAGTACAGAAGGTGTTCAGCTAGCCCGAAACGGAAGGGTGAAACGAGATTGAAACCACCTGTAAAGCGCTATACGGTGACCCTCTCGCCTTCCGAATGGGATAGTATGTACACTAGGGGAAGAATGAAGAAAGGCTGGACAAAAGTGATGAGTCAGAAGATGGTTGATGTGATCAAACCAGCGTGTGTTCTTTCGTTTCACTACAGTCGCCTGAAGAAGCCCGGATCGCGGAAGACGACCGGTCACATGTTCACCGCTAAAGCGAGATGCAAGATGCCAGGATGTCATTCCTACACTCTGACGATGGGAACCCTCTGTTCATGGCCTTCGGATCGACTTAAGGTCAATGTGCTACAAAGTGGAAGTCCTCAACATGGCTCTTACTTCGCCCATCGCTGGTTGACCGGATACGATCGAGAAAATGTTGGGGAGCAAGTGGATGCGTATGGCGCTCACCAGACCCGAGGAAAACTGTTGGAAGACGCCCCAGAAGCTGAGTTGAAGGATGGCAACATTACCAAAGCTCCACCAGCTCATGTATTGCGACAGGCGGCTTCTGAGGTGCGAGCCAAAAAAAGGTTCTCAAAGGATTGGAGCACTGATATCGCCATCCGGATGGAAGTGTCAAAGGATGAAGATCACCTGAGCACCAAGCTACCTGGTGCTATCCGTCTCATAGGAAAGGTACCGTTGGTTATACATACATACCGAGAGCATTTTCTCAGAAAATACAGAAGACTGCACACCACTGTCCACATCGACGCCACCGGGTCAGTAACAAGAAAGATGGGGGAAAAAGCCCCCTTGTTCTATGTGGTAGTAGCCGAAGATGAGTCATCGACAAGCTTCCCTTTGGCGAGCATGCTGTCAGAAAGTCATACGGCACCAACGATAGCTCACTTCCTCAGCCAGCTAGCGAGAGACTTCAAGCTGGTCACTGGCGCAAAGTTCACGCCCCCAAGGATAGTGACTGATTTTTCTTGGGCCTTGCTGAACGCGGCTGCCGAAGGTATCCTCAAGTGCTCTGTATCACTGTACCTTGAGAAGTGCTGGCGCTATATCCACGGAAAAGACAAGAAACCTGACACTCTCCTAAGCCTGTGCTGTGCTCATGCCAGCAAGCAGTTGTCGATGGAGCTGACCAATCTCAAATTGAGCAAAGAAAGCAAGGCCACGTTTATGTGGTTTTTCGCGAAGATGCAACAGGCCAGGTCCATGGAATCTCTGGATAGACTGTTCCGTGCTGTGTGTGAATTGGCACTTTCACATCAAGAACCCACGTCTCTGGACGTCAGTGAAAAGCAGGCAGACGACTGTGGTCCAGACGATGATCACCAAGAGCCACCGCAGGGACATGTGAAGGCAAATTCCACCATGAGAAAAGGCACGCCTTTTGGGCGACACTTTGACCGCGTGCGATTTGAGATCGAAGATCATCTGGATAAGTCCGGAGAGGTCGAAAACCGTTTCTACTGCCCTCGCCTTATAAGCTACCTGCTGGGCACTCTGATGCCGCTGGCTCCGCTTTGGAGCCAAGTGATATCAGCACAGACAACAAGCAACGCCCACGTGGAAAGTTACATGCGAACTCTCAAGAAGGAAATGCTGCGTGGTCGCCGCCGCCTCCACCCAGCTGATTTCGTTAAGGTCATCATGAAAGACATGACGGCAAGAATGAAGGCGGACCTGATCCCGACACGGCCTTTGCCCAAAAGAGGACGAAAGGAAAAGACGCACGCAGGGCAAGACAGATCAAAAAAGGCCAATGTGAAGGGGCATCCAGTTAAAAAGAGAAAACATGATGAGGGTGACCATGCGCTACCTGTAGCTGGTCACTCAAGCGCTGGAGAAGAAACGTCACGCCCAGTAGCCAAAAAACAAAGAAGAAAGGAAGAACAGGAACTGGATGCAACGAACATTGACCTAGAAGAGGAGGGGTGGAAGAAGTCAGATAAAAACTTGGTAGGTAAAAGACGGACCACGTACCTCAGGCGGAAGACGCCGCCCCGCGTCCTGCAGCACTTGATATCGCCTAAGGTAACAAGCCGAGAACATAGGCCCGGTCCCCAGCCAGACGTTATGCCCGGTCCCCAGCCAGACGTTATGATGAACACGTCATGCCAACTTGAAGTGGACTCGCAAACTGAGACAGATGAAGACAAAGAGGCTAAGCTGAGGCCAACACCCAACGAACATCTAGGATTCCTGTATCAGGAAGATATCGACGTCCTGGACGGAGAGAACTGGTTGAATGACAACATCCTGTCGGGGTTCATCGGATCGGAAATCACGAGAACAGGAGCACCGGCTTGTCTTTTCGCTAGTCATTTTTGGGACATCCTGAAAACACACGGCGTGACGTCTGCCACCAGAAAACATGTGACATTACATAAACAGCTGAGAAGAAACATCTGGATCCTGCCCGGGAACACCATGGGCGGTAACCACTGGGTTCTGGTTGTCGTGAACTTTGACATGAAGATTATTGCTTGTTTTGACTCACTTGGCCCGGGCATGACGAGGAGCGACGTCGCACTGCTTCAGAAATTCATGGCCTTGTCCCGTCCCGGAGTGGCGATGAGGTGGTCGGAATGGAAGTACCTCTCTCCGACCAACATCCCGAAGCAGAAGGACGCCATCAGCTGCGGGCTGTATGTCTGCCTGTACGCACGGAGTCTCCTCACCGGAGAGCTCGCCAGAGAAGACATAGGTGCCGAGGAACTGGCACAAACGAGAGACCAGATAAAAAGACAGCTTCTTACAGCCACTGATTATGAACTGATTACTGATTACTATGGCACATTCGATGATGGAGAACCCATTCGGCACAATGTGCCTCATCTTCGGAGAATAAAACACGTCGACAACTGGAAGGCCCTCCTTGTCAGTCTGGGCAACTTTCAAGTCGGTCACGGCAGGTGAGTGAGTGGAGCTCCTCCAGTATGACTTTTATTCATCGGTGTGTAATCTAAATATATGTTTAATCTTGTTTCGGACCGTACTTTAGTGTCCTTTCTTTCTTCCGTACTTAAGTGTCCCACTGCAGCTTTGATGACAACCGTCTCATCCATTTTCATGTCAGCAAAAGCTTTTTACCTTAATGAAACTAATTAGTCCCGGATCCGCACCGTTCTCCGACTTGCCATCCTGTGCCTGACCACCCACTTTGCTTGCTCCGGACTCATGAGTGAGTAATCTAACAGCACCATGTCGACCGGCAGCACGTGAAGCGCTACATGCAGAGCGGCCAGATCCGCCAGCGACTGGCCGAGTTTGCTGAGGCCACGGCCCGGCCGCGGCGCTGGGCGGAGACGGCCGAGGCGCTGCTGACTGCGCCGCTGGACTGTCGACAGCCGCAGCTGGCGCACAGGAGGCAGGAGGCGCAGGTGAGGGAGGGGAGGGGAGACAGGAGGCACAGGTAAAGACGGGTGGAACGGAGTGGGAAGTGGGAGGGGGAGAATTAGGGGGCACATAAGGATATAGGAGGCGCAGATGAGGATGCTTTCATCTTACCCGACTATGTGTGTGTATGCCTTTTGACTCGTGCTAATTTCCTTCAATCGGAACAACATATTGTTCCATCGAGACAATCATGCAGCTGAAGTGCCTGGTTGAGATCCTATAATCTCTATACATTTCCACAGCACCATGTCTACCATTCACCAATAATTTCCGTTTCTCATTTGATTCTCCTCAGGAGCTGCTAGCGGAGCTGCCCGACGTTGAAGCCGGTCTGAAGACGGCCGGCAAGCTTATCCAGCTACTCGGCGAGGACGTATCTCCCGAGAAACAACAGGAGATGACGCAGACACTGAGAGAGCTCAGAGGTGAGGCGGCAGCTGGGGGATGGACACATTGCGTGAGGTGACAGGTTGTCTTAGGGTAGGTCGGAACAGAATGACCGAGTCCTTAACTGCCAAATGATTTAGCAATGTCGACGTAGTTATGAGTTTTGAAGAGATCTGATGCCCTTAGTGGTGATTATAAGTTGCGTTTCGCTATCAAATTCGTATTGTAAATTATGAAAATATTTGCGTTGAGCTAACCACCGCATATGTGATGTGCCACCCCTGACCGACTCCACCCTCGTGCTCCTCAGAGTCGGTGTCGGACGGCCAGGCGGGCTGCCAGCAGCAGGCGGACGTATGCGCCCAGTCGGCCGACCGGCTGGCAGCGGCCGGCCGCGGACAGGCAGAGGTCTTCGCCTGGCTGGACGAGCTGTCCAAGCTGCTGGACGGACCGGCGCCGGCCACCGAGGCGGGCAGGTGGCCCAGCGGGCTGACCAGCTGCAGGTGCGGAATTCTGTCTGGGTGGTAGGCGACGGGTAGGAGAGGGATCTGACGAAGTGGTGGATGGCTGTTGGGTGAAAGTATTTCAGCCAGTGAATGTATTCTCACGCACGGATTTTTTAGATTTTCTGGTGAAACAGCAGTGCGTGTTTCATATGATGTTTATGCGTGATTCGAGCCGTGGATGGTCACCTACTCAATGTTCTTTCATTAAATGTTTCACCGTGAAGCCATCAGATGGGACGTGTTATGTCCTTTATGACGTATTTTATACTCCTGAATTCTGCTCGTGTAATTCACATAAGCCGCACTCGCCATAGATCTGGCTTTGCTAATATGTCGATTCAAGCCCGCCATTCGACCTCCCATGGCCACTTCACACTTACCCGTAGCGTTTTCTCACTGTCGGCTGGTTCCCGCCCGGCAGACGGTGCTCTCCCGGCAGCTGTACTGCCGCTCCCTGCTGGACTCCACCACCAAGATCGTGTCGGGTCTGCTGGAGGCGGCGCGTGCCGTGCCGGCCCTGGACACCACTCAGTTGGAGAGGGAACAGGCGGCCGTCAGTGGCCGGTTCGCCGAGCTCACTGCCGGCGCCGAGCGGATGCAGCAGGTGGGGAGTGGAAGAAAGCAGAGATGCGGTAGGGGGACTGGCCACTGGGAGAGAGGAAATGAGGACTGGAGGAGGTGTGCATGATTGGGAGAGACGATTCGGCCACAGCTGTGCTGGTAGGGTTATTGGGAGGTGGAGGGGATCCACTTCAGAAGTTGGGGACTGGAGGGGCCTGACGGCTACAGCTGGTGGGATCTGGGGGGGGGGGGGGGGGGGTGATTGGGCGATTTGCGATTCAAGGCCTCCTGAGTTGGGCTGTGTGCTGACCTGCGTATGGTTTGCCTTTCCCAGGAGCTGAACAGCTCCTCTGACGCGTGAAGCCGGTTCGAGGCCGCTGAGCGGGGCGTCACTGAGTGGCTGGAGCTACCCACCGTCTGGAAGAGCGCCGACCAGCTGGCCGACAGCAGGCAGCAGCAGCAGCGCGCCGTGCAGCGACTCGAGGAGCAGCGGCCGCGCGTGCTGGCGGCCGTGCAGCGCGGCAGGGACCTGAGCCGGGACCTGAGCCAGGCGCCTGCACTGCTGCCCGAGGCACTGGAGCAACTGGAGCTCGTCTGGGCAGAGAGCAACGCCGAGGTCATACAGAGACTGGACAGCGCCACAGGTAAGGGCGGGTGACGCGGTGTGCGACCACGTGTTCGGCAGATAACATGCACATTGCATAGCTGTGGGCCTAGCGAAAGGATTAATAGAAGTTTTTGCAGTTTGATGCAAACAATCTGTTTGGCCATGATATGTCGCGTACTTATTTGTCCAGAGGTACAGGTCTCGCGGGTTTTAGCGGTAGGTTTTGCACCTAGAAAATTTAGTGTACTTTAGGCTATATCTTCGTCGTCTTAAACTTTTAAGTGTTGAAGATGCGATCGACTTGTTGGGTAACAAGCCGGCCATGATCGTGTAAAATGGCTTCATCGTAGATCGATTAGTTTCTGAGATATAACCGGAAATGTAAAAGTGCAAAACCTACCGCTTAATCTCGCGAGACCTGTACATCTGACCGGCCTCGTTATCGTTCTTCTGGCCGCCTAATCGTCGTCCGTCTAACTCGCGTAGCAATCATTTGTCACACCCGCCTGACCGTTCTCCTTCCGGCTTCCGACCCGTCAGAGACTGAGCGTCTGTGGACGGAGCTGGCCGACCGGCGGGCCGACCTGCAGTGCGCGCTGGCGACACACCGGTCAGCGCTGGACGCCGCCGCCGACACCGCCGAGCCGGGCCCGGCGCTGGCCGAGCTGGCCGCGCACGTACAGACCCAGCAGCCGGAGCGGGCGCAGCAGATGCAGCAGCGGCTGCAGCAGATCGCCCAGCAGCTCGGCGGCCGGCTGGCGCCCGAGGCCGCCCAGCAGCTGAAACAGCAGGTGGGTTATGAAGAACGCTGACGAGAGAAGTTTTCTGATGTCCTGATGAAGTGCGTCGGGAATGGTTTGAATATCACTAACTGTTATTGTCCTCAGTTCATTGTCTGCTGGTTGTCTAGACCGTATTCGGCTTGTCCCTTTTGCTTCCCTGATTGGCGTTTCTGTGTGCTGACGAGCGTATCCCACCCTTGCTTAGGTGGATGAGAGTGACGCCGACGTGGCCGCTGTCTCGGAGCAGCTGCAGCAGAAGATGGACAACCTCACCAGTGCCGCGCAGACCTGGGCGCAGGTAAGCGACGGGCGCGAAGACTTGACCACGTGTAGTGATTGGGCTGGTCTAGAGGCGCAACACTGCAGTCGCTGTGTCACGACCAGGGACTCTGGCGGAGTAGGAGCAATGAGAGTTGTATTTGCTGTCAACCTTGAAAGCTGAAGAGATGACGTTGAAAGCTCAGCCATTGGGAGACACTTCTGGTCGCCTGTGTGTAGTAATGCTGTTCAATTCTCCCGGATCATTTTTTTTTATTTACGTTCAGTGACCTTTCAGATACCTCTGTATGAGACTTGTAACTTGACTCGCCCTGCAGGTCAGTGACCGTGTGGAGGTGGTGCGACTGGGTCTCCAGTCAGCCCAGCGCAGCCAGCAGCGGCTCAGCACCCTGGATATGCCGCCGGAGACGCGCCGTCAGCAGCTGCAGCTGCTGACCCAGCAGCTGCAGCAGCACGCCGAGGAGCGGCAGCAGCTGAACGAACTCATGGACACGCTACAATCAGGTAACGGTGTTCGCGAGCGACCCGGCAAAGGCTTCCCCTTACTTGGGACACGATGGGACTCATCTGACTGCCTATTGGTTGCGATGTGATATCGAATTCGTCATATGAATAAGAGATGACATCGATCAGTTAGATGACATCAATCTTTGCTTCCATAATCACAAATAAGTCTGTTTGGTAAATAATGACGGCATTTATTACGTTCCGGTCTGTAGCTGCCACCATCATCGCATTGCATCAGACCTGAAGAAAGCAGGATGTATCGTTGCATGTATTATCACATGCTGCGGTACTGACCCGCTCCCCTTCCACCACAGAGGGTTACGACGGCGGCCAGTTTCGCAGCGAGCTGGCTATCCTTGGAGACACGCTACAGCATATGAGCGAGGCGGCCGCACAGCAGCGCGCCGTGCTCGAGGACGAGTACAAACACTGGCACACCTACCAGGAGCAGGTAAGAGTACGAACCAGGTACACGCACCAGGAGCAGGTGAGAGTACAAACCTGGCACAATACCAGGAACAGTTTAGTGGGCCACACCGGATGGTTCGGGAAACACAGATTGATTAAATCTTTTCTGGTGTGAGTATGATAGGAGAAATAGGCCCTACTTTTTAATATCATATCAATGCCGGCTGCGGGTTCGTCATCGATGCTATCGCATCATGCGTGCTGTTGTGCATAATAACGCGTATTGGAGCGCGTTTTGGTATTTACTTTTATTCGTGTATGTGCGGGAAGAGAGCGGCAATTCTGTTTTTAGAAGAACAGAGAGGGACTGTGCATTGCAGACACCCGTGTCACTCCATTGAGTTCGCGTCTGACCGCTCGGCCAGGTGGGCGAGCTGGTGCCGTGGCTAGACTGGGCAGAGGAGAAGGTGGCCGCCGACCTGCCGCGGCCCGCTGAGCTGGAGGAAGCCGCCCAGATACTGCAGCAGTGCCAGCACTTTGAGGACCAAGTGTGTCGACAAGGAGCCGGCCGTCAAGGTGGGAAAGGCTGCGGCAGTCTGGTCAGTGCCACTGCGAGCACATTGTGGGGCTAAGGGATATATTACGCCGTTACGGCTTAAGGGATATGTTACGGTGGACGTGGTCTGTAGTCAGTTGACTTGCAGGTTACTTGTACGGTGTCTATGTGTAATGGCCAAAACGTAGTTTTGCTTTGGCGTACCTAAATGCTGAATATCCTCTCCGGCTCAGTCGCGCTTACACATTCAAACTGATTGCGATGTGATATGGAACTGGTTGGTATGCTGGGTTGCCACTCTAATTCTAAAACCCAGATCATCATCATCATCACTACCATCACCATCGCCGTTGTTTTCAGGTGATAGTGGACGAGAGTGCCCAGATGGTTCAGGTGTTTAACGTCTCGGACCAGGCCGACTCGCTGGTCACACGCTGGACAAAGGTCCGCGAGACATCGGTCGCCTGGGTGCAGCAGATGCAGGTAGGTGACTGACTCCGGCCATTGATTAGATTCATTTTATACTGTACAGTTGCTCAGTCAGCTTTGCTGCACTGCTGCAGTGTTGACCCGGCCATGGCCGTTCAGTGGTCACTTCAGTCTCCCCATTAGCCCGCCTCTGACCCGTGGTTCACGGGCCGCCCGTCACTGACCATTGTTTCTCGTCCGCCAGGGCCTGGTGACCACTCTCCGGGACGTCCACACGGAGCTGGCCTCTGTGCGTCAGTGGCTGGACGAGGTGGGCCGCCGCTGCACCCGCCGAGAGAGACGTGCCTGACGCCAGCCAGGAGCTGGACAGTGGACACCCTGCAGGTCAGAATGGGTATTTTAGTCAAAGATCTAAGGTCGGTCGACTTGTTAGGTGGAACTGTATGTGGGTGAGTGCTGGTTTGGTGGTATGTGGGGAAATAAGAATGCCAATTATGTGAAAATGGATCGTATTGAAGGTAATCATGTTTTTGTTTTTGTTAATGCGAGCAAATGGTCTGAATTTGTCAGAGCAGCGTGCCAGATGAGATGCGTACCGACTCCACCCGCTAACTTCTCCTGTCTGCCCGTCCCGTGCTGCGGCAGCCGGCGGTGAGTGAGCTGCCGGGCCGTCAGTCGGCCGTGCTCGGCCTCCAGCAGCGCTGTGACCAGCTGGCCGACCTGCTGAACCCGGAGGGAGCCGCCGCGCTCCGGTCTCACGTGGTTGCCCTGCGCACCGAGGTCTCCCAGCTGAACCAGACACTGAGGCAGAGGCAGGCCAAGACGGCCGACGCCGCCAGCCAGAGGTGGGTGGTGGGGAGATGGAAAGGGAGACCAGAAGTGGAAGGGCAGGGAGAACAGGGGGTAGAAGGGAAAAAGGGGCTTCGCACATCATAGTTTTATGCTGTCTATGGATAAGTCATTGCAATTTGGCTACGATTAGCAAGTTGTGTGATTTCCGTTATGTTCTGCTTGTCCTCTTCAATAACGGCGCAAGCAACGTACGCACACCAATCATGCGTCAACTGGGACGTGTTCCAATTGCGGACAATAATTGCGGACTTGGAACAATATCGTTTAGAAGTTTTCAATATTTGATGTTGTGGTTGTCATCTTCGAGTAAAATACATTACTCTGGTCTCTGGAACTTTGTTCCAGAAAAATTTGTTCACGTGTTTTGCAGTTTTTATTTTTCGATGGCATATTTGGCGTGATTTGGACGCATTCGCACGTATTCGAAATGTAGCCGGAGTAGCCACGATTTTTTAATTTTATTAATGGCTTGTGTGAAGTGTTAGTTGGACCATACGTCATTATTGCTGTTTCTTCTCATCTTGCTACCATTTCCTTATTCAAATATTGCCATTTTCCATGAAAAATGATCAACGGGAATCCATTGTAATGATGTGCGCGCTGTGGTACTATGTGTGACTGGTACCCTGTGGTAACTATATTTATAGGGCGTTAGCTGCGAATAGCGCCCTCCAGGTGGTGAGTAAATCCTGGCTGACGGTGTATCGCTGCCTCTGCTCCCTCAGAAATTAACGAGCTGCAAGTCTGTTCGGGAGGACGCCACCAGCCTCTACAACGAGCGGCCGTCTAAGGAGAACGCCCAACTGCGCGACCACTCTGAGCAGCTGTGCGCAGCGGCGCGGCAGACGCAGACGGCCGTCACCGACCGACACCAGGCCGTGGGCCTGTGGGCCGACATGACATCACAAAGGTCCGTTTAACAGGACACAGACACACACACCATGCCGTGGGACTGTGGGCAGAGCTGGCCTCTCACAGCTCTGTAATAGGGGGATGGAATGTGACTTTAACACTTGTAATGTGAAAATATGACGAGTTGAACAAGTAATCGAGCGTGACAGTGGGCTAGCGCCTTGGCTACTTTTTAGGGAATGTTTTCTTGGTAGCCAATCTGACGAAATGTCTGTGACGTGTTTCAGTAAGCGTCTGGGCGATCAGTTATCGGTGATGTCGGACCGACTCCAGTCCGACTCCCTGACCGCCGAGAAGGTGCCGCAGCTCAAACAGGATCTGGTGACGCTACAGGTGAGTGGAGCAGACTTTGGTGGGTGTCGACTGCAAGGTAGTATCTGTTGACGAGGCTGCAGGTAGATGTTTCTGCTTCTGGGTTTGTGTTAGTTCATGTTAGAACGCGATGGACAATCGTAGTTGGCAGCCCCTGAACATTCGTAACATTCGCAAAGGAGTGCAGCTAGTAAAGCCAATGCTGCTTTGTGCTGACTCGTTACTTTTGGTTAAGCATCATCAAACTTGGTGTGAAGTATTGCATTTACCTGATCAACTACCATGATCCAGAATCCTGCAGGCACAGCAGCTATGTCTACCCTCGAAACTGGATTGTCCCCGCTCGGTCAGCACGTGCCGTCTAATCCATCCCCGCCCTTCTGTGTGTTTTCTCAGAGCGAGCAGGCGGCGCTGGAGGCGGAGGCCGCGGCGCTGGCACCGGCCGCCGAGCGGGCCGGTCTGACCGTGCTGCGCGGCGAGCTGGAGCAGCCGCCGGCCGAGCTGAGCGATCACACGCTGCGCCACCTGCAGCAGCTGCTGGACCAGCTGGACGAGCACGTCGGACGGCTGGCCGAGCGGCAACAGGTGCGGCTGCGGCACGATCGACGTCGTGGTCGCTTTCATGCTCTTTGTTTGTTTGTAAGAAAAAAAAACTGTTTGACATGACGGAGCTGAATAAAAAATGTACGCTGATAGTCATTAATGTTAACTAACTCACCGCTCTGCATACTTTGCTCATTTTTTTTTGTGTTCAGTACCACAGGGCATCATGTTAGATTAACTCCGTAAGTACGAGTTTCAATTTATGTAGTTTTTCATTGATTTCGGTGTACTGTCAGGTGTGGGAGAAGTTTTGCGGCGACCGGGACGGCCTGGTCACCTGGCTGGAGGCCACTCGCAGTCGGGTGTCGGCCGAGCAGGCCGGCTGCGCCCGGCTGGCCGAGCTGCCTGAGCTGCTGTCCCAGGTGGACTGTGCACAGAGAGAGGCCGACTCCAGGACAGAGGCCTTCCAGGTGAGCAGAAGCCGCTGAAATTTGGAAAATGTAACGTGATTCGGATGTTATTGGTAGAAGATAGCACATCATTGGGAACTCTAACATTGTGTTCATGTATTTTAGTAATAAAGTTGTTGGTGTGGTTTTTCTTTTCTACCTATATTTATGAACACTGATGCCCGTTTGAGCAGTTGTGTGGGGCAGGCTGCTCACCGTCGCTGAGAACAGCTGCTGAGGCCTTCCGTCACTTTCTCTCCGCCGTCAGACGCTGGGGATGCGTTATGCTCTTAAACTACGCCAATTCCCGACGCATCCGATGTACCCGTACGTCTTTTCGCGTCACATTGCTTCATCTGGTAATGGACGAGTCATCCATTTGCAGCACGCATAAGAGGTTTATTCTCTATATCGAATATAGCCTTGCGCGGCGTTCGGCGTATCTGGGGAACGCCTTCTCCACCCTGGAGAAACGCCCCGCCGCAGGTGGACCTCTCGCTTTCCGAAGTTCAAAAGGATAGCCTGCTGCCCTATGAAGCACAAACCAGAGCCTTGGAGCATATAGCCTCGTATGATGGTTTTATTTCAGTCTACAAAGACGGCTCAAAAACATCCGAGGGAGCGGGTTGCTCTTTTGTCGCTGGTCGGGACACCCGCTCGTTTTCCCTTCCACCCAGCGCCTCGGTGTTTTCCTCAGAGCTAGTCGCCATTGAAAAGGCTCTGTGTCATAGGCGTCGCCAGACATTTTCGGTTGGGGGGCAAAATCAAGTTTTGTGTTAAATCTTGCCTTTCCCCAGCCGTTACTCACTCGTTTTACATATCATTCGACGCGCAATGGTGCGAGGAATCCGATGGTGACAAAGTTTTCCTTCTAGCTATAGCATGCATTTTTTTACAAAAAAAATCGAAATTTTGAAATTTCTGGATAAAAACGAGGGTGCACGTCAGAATAGCTAGTGACATTTGAGCTAGTGACTTCTGAACTAGTACAAAACAGCTAGTGCCTCAAAACAGCTAGTGACAAAACAGCTAGCGTCAAAATAGCTAGTGAAGCAAAATAGCTAGTGCTTAGAAACAGCTAGTAACAAAACAGCTAGCGTCAAAGTAGCTAGTGAAGCATAAAGAGCTAGTGCCTCAAGACAGCTAGTGACGAAATAGCTATCGTCAAAATAGCAATTTCGTTGGACCTCTGTTCCCTTCCCATTCACTTCGCTTCAAAAATGCAAGATATCTATGACTGTAAATATGTATTTCCCGCGATATGCCATCTCTTTAATTCCCCGGTGCCCCGCTTCTAATTTGTTGTTTGTCCTAGGGATCCCGTCCTCTGCCCTCCTAGCATTCCAAATAATTTTGTCAAACTACGGTGCTCTTCTGCTCCTTCTACCCGTGGGGACTCTTCGTCGGGAAAGAATCTATAATAGCTGCTCTACGAATAAGCTATTTTGCTTATTAGCTATTAGTCCACGCTAGCGATTTCTTAGCTATAATGAAGCACTAGCTATTTTGCTCTACTAGCTATATTGACGCTAGCTGTTTAGTCACTAGCTGATTTAATGCACTAGCTATTTTGCATTACTAGCTATTTTGGCGCTAGCTGTGTTGTCACTAGCTGTTTTGAAGCACTAGCTCTTTTGTACTAGCTCAAAAGTCACTAGCTCAATAGTCACTAGCTGTTTTGACGTGGACCCAAAAACGACCGTTAGAATTACAGTGGCTGCGATTGCCGACGCACTGCAGAGGGCCCCTGTGCAGACTCTCGTCGCTCATGATCATTACCCAGAAGAAGGTGAAAAACGCTCCATTTGAATCGGATCACCTCGCTAAAACATCCATTCACGCATGCATGCCGAGGTTTTACGTGAAATGCATAGGGCTTATCCCAGCCGCCGATTGTAGCTAAGAATTGGGCATTCGGCGGAGACAGAGAGAGAATGTCGGAAGTGTGAATCGGAAGTACATCATTCATCTTTGCTGCAGTGAGAAGAAGTGTTTTGTTCACTCGAGTGTGAACAAAAAGTTTCTGGTTTTTTCGAGTGAAGGGAAGCGCTGCAAACGCGACCAAAAATATTTAACGGAACCAAAAGTTACGCACGGCATAGCGGCAAGGGATCCCTTTAGAGATAGGATTGCGACTTCCAGGCCATTTCAGGCCACTCAGGGTCAGTGTGGACTCTCAGAAGCCTGCTTAGGATCCCGGAGATCGAGCCTAAGGTGGGCCCGGAAAGCCCTTTAGGGCACACGAGCTTTCAGAAGCCAGTGTGGGCGGCGGGCGCTAAGAGACTAGGCCCAGGGTGAGCCTGGAGCCCTCGAATAACAGTGTGGACCGTCGCGGTCTGTGTCTAATCCTTAAGGACCCTACGTTGGTAGGGACATAAGAAACATGTGTTGCGGCCCTCAGAGGGACACGTGAGTTGTGACCCCTCAGATGCCGGGTTGGGGTTAGTAAAGTATGTCGCCTCAAAAGTTCGGCTGAACTATCATAGGCCAGTTGAGGTTTTCAGAAATTTTCGAAGGCACCCTCAAAGATTCGTGTGGCCCTTCAGAGGTCTACGTATGTATAATGTCCTCAAAGATCCCTGTATGGGCCCTCTAGAGAACATGGACACCAGTGGGACTCTCAGAGGCCGGTTTGGGCCCTCCGAAAGCTTCTTAGAGCTCAGTGGAGCTCCTTAGGAGCCTGTGTGAAAAGCAGGCTCATGAGCCTTGCGGCACTTGAACGGTACTTGTGCCTGTCGCAGACATTTGACGAGAGTTGAGAAAGGCCCCGTAGATTTCGTGTCACGCTTTGAACGAAAATTATGTGTCAGCACTCCAAAATTTATGAAAATCAGCTACAAAATGTAATAAAGAACCAACTAGGAACATGGCATGAATCATGGCATTGGCATTTCCGAGTCTGGAGTCTGAGTCTTGAAGATTTTGGCGACTGCGACTCTGACTTTGGTTTGAACTGCACGTTCCAACAGAGTTTGACCTCACAGGCATTCTCAGAAAGGTACCCCCATTTTTCCCCGACTCCAAAATCTCATCGGATCTGTATCGATCTCAGGGGGTGCCCGGTCCGAGGTTGGGGGGGGGGCAAGCTGCCCCGCTTGCCCCCCCCCCCGTGGCGACGCTAATGCTCTGTGTTTTATTGAGGTGTCCGACGGTTTTTTCTATTTGATTTTATCAGACTCACTAAGCAGTCTGTTGGCTTTACGACGGTTTAATCCTGTCGACCCGATCATTCAGGATATTTTAACTCGGCTAACTTCGGTGGAGCAGTCCGGAAAAACTATCCGTTTTTGCTGGATTCCCAGTCATGTTGGAATCCAAGGCAATGAGCTTGCTGACGCCGCCGCGAGACGCGCTGCCGCAGCGCCCTACACTCGGCGATTTCCTCTGCCTGCCCGGGATTACTATCCCGTTGTACGATCTTCCATGCTCTCGCAGTGGCAGGCGGAGTGGGACTCGCGCGCGAGCAGTAAGCTGAGAGATATCAAGCCAACTCTAGAGCCTTGGTCGTCATGTATGCAAAGTACCAGACATAACGAAGTCGTCTTATGTAGGCTGCGCATCGGCCATACGTATGCAACGCATGGTCATCTCCTCCGCGGAGAAGAGCAGCCCACCTGTCGCAGCCCGCAGGTGTACCGTGCCTCTCACTGTCTCTCACATGCTTTTATCTTGTCCTCTCGCTGAACCGAACCGGACACGCTACCTCGGGCGCATCGCTCCGGGTACCACTATCCGCCGCTTACTGGGTGACGAGTCACCCTGGGTTTTATCCGGCAGCATCTTTTATTTTATCCGATCGATCAACTTCCAAGTGATTTACTCGACCTGACCCAATCCAACTAGCCCTCTCTAGTCCTTACATCTAGTCAGTTGTCTAGGACGACACTTTAACGCTATTTTATCTTACCTTGCTCTTTTATATCGAGTCTTACTTTCTAGTCTTAGTATCTAGAAGGTTCTTTCTTGTGACACACTTGTTTTATTAGTACGTGGTTATGGGCGCAAAATGACCTCAGCAGTCGGCGCGCCCTAAAGCCCCAATTAACAAACAAACAAACAAGATTGGACAGCTGATTCTTATTTGAAAACCCATAGCGAGATGATAGGCATGTGAAATGACAGTAGATGTTACTTTGAAAAACATAGCTCGAGAAGATGACGCACGGCATGAATGTCAGATCGAGTCGCCGCTGTTCTCCTCCCTGACACGCCTCCCGTCTGTTTCCCCAGGTGGTTGACTTTGTGGCCGCCTAGGGGGTGAAGCAGAGTAACGCAGACCCACTGTACCTCCCTGGAGGAGCGAGGAGGCGCTGCCCGACTCAGACGTCATCTACATGACGCGCGTGCAGCGGGAGCGTTTCGCCGACCCGGCCGACTACGAGCGCTGCGCCGGGCGTCTGGTGCTCACCCCTCAACTGATGACACTGGCTGGACCGCGCACGGTGGTGCTGCACCCTCTACCTCGTGTGGATGAGGTGAGCACCGAGCTGGACGGTGATCCGCATGCCGCATACTTCCGACAGGCCGAGTATGGCATGTATGTGCGCATGGCGCTGCTCACCACGGTACTCGGCCGGGCCTAACAGTGGTTAGAGCGACATCTATAGCGGTAGTGTGGATAGAACAGAGATCTGGATGTGGACTGATGTGAGCGTGTGAAAACTAGTGTTTGCTCGTCTTGGTAGAAGCTAAAATAATTCAAGGGGTGACACTAATTATGGAGATGCCAGTTTTTTTAACCCTTTTCGTGGCTAGACGCGGAGCAAAATTGTGTTCTGATGAGTGTTGAATGATTTGTGTCTAAACGATTTAGATTTAGAATAAACGTTTTGCTACATCTTGACCTTTTTTACATGTGAATTTGGAGTATGAAAGGTAGCGGGAGCATGGCGTTCCAGTCTGACTGGCTTATGGATTTTGTCGATGAGACACCGCCCGAGATCGTCTGGATCGAGAATGTTTTGGTTTTGTTGGGTTAGGCCCTTTCGGTCCGATGGGACCATTTCAGAGCCGAGAGGATGATAGGATATAGGGGGAGACATTGGTCTGGGCAGGCACCCTAGTGAGTCACCGGGGCTGAGCCCATCCAGAAGACAGGCCACCCAGCCCCAAGGTACTCACTGCACCCGGCTACGGGGTGCGCTCCCTCGGGAGCAGCGGTGCCGCTCCAAGGGAGCAGCCCGCATGAGATAAAGTTGCCTGTCCAGCCCGGAGGGGGGTTGCGGCGTGGGGGAGAAGGATTTCAGTATCCTGAGGATAGAAGCACGGAACGGTGATAGGGAATGTGATCTGCGTACGATGGCACTTTGTGTTTCACCCATTTCTGTGGCTCGTCTCGGCGATGCATCCCCGAAGCTCCTCGATCCTCGGCGAGGTCATTGACCGCACGGCAGCGTTGGGGGGGGGGGATGCAAAGATGACAATTGGCATCATCTGCGGGACGGGCGGCCGCGCCTGCCTTTGAGGGCGGTCGCGCCTTTAAATCAGTCGCTGGAACTTTGCTGCCCTCTAGCGGGAAAAGTATAAGGTGTAGGGTTTAACGGATTGCACCACGCGACTCTACGCCCCAAGTTACCTCTATGTAGTGATTTTCAGCGGAATCCCAGGGGTCCGGCGACCAAGTTACCCCTATGTATTTTTTTCAGCGGAATCCTAGGGGTCCGGCGAATCTGTCGCTGGAACTTTGCTGCCCTCTAGCGGGAAAAGTATTAGGTGTAGGGTTTAACGGATTGCACCACGCGACTCTACGCCCCAAGTTACCCCTATGTAGTGATTTTCAGCGGAATCCCAGGGGTCCGGCGACCAAGTTACCCCTATTTCAGCGGAGTCCTAGGGGTCCGGCGAATCTGTCGCTGGAACTTTGCTGCCCTCTAGCGGGAAAAGTATTAGGTGTAGGGTTTAACGGATTGCACCACGCGACTCTACGCCCCAAGTTACCCCTGTGAAGTGATTTTCAGCGGAATCCTAGGGGTCCGGCGAATCTGTCGCTGGAACTTTGCTGCCCTCTAGCGGGAAAAGTATTAGGTGTATGGTTTAACGGATTACACCACGCGACTCTACGCCCCAAGTTACCCCTATGTAGGGATTTTCAGCGGATTCCTAGGGGTTCGGCGAATCTGTCGCTGGAACTTTGCTGCCCTCTAGCGGGAAAAGTATTAGGTGTAGGGTTTAACGGATTGCACCACGCGACTCTACGCCCCAAGTTACCCCTGTGTAGTGATTTTCAGCGGAATCCTAGGGGTCCGGCGAATCTGTCGCTGGAACTTTGCTGCCCTCTAGCGGGAAAAGTATTAGGTGTAGGGTTTAACGGATTGCACCACATGACTCTACGCCCCAAGTTACCCCTATGTAGGGATTTTCAGCGGAATCCTAGGGGTCCGGCGAATCTGTCGCTGGAACTTTGCTGCCCTCTAGCGGGAAAAGTATTAGGTGTAGGGTTTAACGGATTGCACCACCCGACTCTACGCCCCAAGTTACCCCTATATAGGGATTTTCAGCGGATTCCTAGGGGTCCGGCGAATCTGTCGCTGGAACTTTGCTGCCCTCTAGCGGGAAAAGTATTAGGTGTAGGGTTTAACGGATTGCACCACGCGACTCTACGCCCCAAGTTACCCCTATATAGGGATTTTCAGCGGATTCCTAGGGGTCCGGCGAATCTGTCGCTGGAACTTTGCTGCCCTCTAGCGGGAAAAGTATTAGGTGTAGGGTTTAACGGATTGCACCACGCGACTCTACGCCCCAAGTTACCCCTATGTAGGGATTTTCAGCGGAATCCTAGGGGTCCGGCGAATCTGTCGCTGGAACTTTGCTGCCCTCTAGCGGGAAAAGTATTAGGTGTAGGGTTTAACGGATTGCACCACGCGACTCTACGCCCCAAGTTACCCCTATGTAGGGATTTTCAGCGGAATCCTAGGGGTCCGGCGAATCTGTCGCTGGAACTTTGCTGCCCTCTAGCGGGAAAAGTATTAGGTGTAGGGTTTAACGGATTGCACCACGCGACTCTACGCCCCAAGTTACCCCTATGTAGTGATTTTCAGCGGAATCCCAGGGGTCCGGCGACCAAGTTACCCCTATTTCAGCGGAATCCTAGGGGTCCGGCGAATCTGTCGCTGGAACTTTGCTGCCCTCTAGCGGGAAAAGTATAAGGTGTAGGGTTTAACAGATTGCACCACGCGACTCTACGCCCCAAGTTACCCCTGTGAAGTGATTTTCAGCGGAATCCTAGGGGTCCGGCGAATCTGTCGCTGGAACTTTGCTGCCCTCTAGCGGGAAAAGTATTAGGTGTATGGTTTAACGGATTACACCACGCGACTCTACGCCCCAAGTTACCCCTATGTTGGGATTTTCAGCGGATTCCTAGGGGTTCGGCGAATCTGTCGCTGGAACTTTGCTGCCCTCTAGCGGGAAAAGTATTAGGTGTAGGCTTTAACGGATTGCACCACGCGACTCTACGCCCCAAGTTACCCCTGTGTAGTGATTTTCAGCGGAATCCTAGGGGTCCGGCGAATCTGTCGCTGGAACTTTGCTGCCATCTAGCGGGAAAAGTATTAGGTGTAGGGTTTAACAGATTGCACCACGCGACTCTACACCCCAAGTTACCCCTATGTAGGGATTTTCAGCGGAATCCTAGGGGTCCGGCGAATCTGTCGCTGGAACTTTGCTGCCCTCTAGCGGGAAAAGTATTAGGTGTAGGGTTTAACGGATTGCACCACGCGACTCTACGCCCCACGTGACCCCTATGTAGGGATTTTCAGCGGAATCCTAGGGGTCCGGCGAATCTGTCGCTGGAACTTTGCTGCCCTCTAGCGGGAAAAGTATTAGGTGTAGGGTTTAACGGATTGCACTACGCGACTCTACGCCCCAAGTTACCCCTATATAGGGATTTTCAGCGGAATCCTAGGGGTCCGGCGAATCTGTCGCTGGAACTTTGCTGCCCTCTAGCGGGAAAAGTATTAGGTGTAGGGTTTAACGGATTGCACCACGCGACTCTACGCCCCAAGTTACCTCTATATAGGGATTTTCAGCGGATTCCTAGGGGTCCGGCGAATATGTCGCTGGAACTTTGCTGCCCTCTAGCGGGAAAAGTATTAGGTGTAGGGTTTAACGGATTGCACCACGCGACTCTACGCCCCAAGTTACCCCTATGTAGGGATTTTCAGCGGAATCCTAGGGGTCCGGCGAATCTGTCGCTGGAACTTTGCTGCCCTCTAGCGGGAAAAGTATTAGGTGTAGGGTTTAACGGATTGCACCACGCGACTCTACGCCCCAAGTTACCCCTATGTAGGGATTTTCAGCGGAATCCTAGGGGTCCGGCGAATCTGTCGCTGGAACTTTGCTGCCCTCTAGCGGGAAAAGTGTTAGGTGTAGGGTTTAACGGATTGCACCACGCGACTCTACACCCCAAGTTACCCCTATGTAGGGATTTTCAGCGGAATCCTAGGGGTCCGGCGAATCTGTCGCTGGAACTTTGCTGCCCTCTAGCGGGAAAAGTATTAGGTGTAGGGTTTAACGGATTGCACCACATGACTCTACGCCCCAAGTTACTCCTATGTAGGGATTTTCAGCGGAATCCTAGGGGTCCGGCGAATCTGTCGCTGGAACTTTGCTGCCCTCTAGCGGGAAAAGTATTAGGTGTAGGGTTTAACGGATTGCACCACGCTACTCTACGCCCCAAGTTACCCCTATATAGGGATTTTCAGCGGATTCCTAGGGGTCCGGCGAATCTGTCGCTGGAACTTTGCTGCCCTCTAGCGGGAAAAGTATTAGGTGTAGGGTTTAACGGATTGCACCACGCGACTCTACGCCCCAAGTTACCCCTATATAGGGATTTTCAGCGGATTCCTAGGGGTCCGGCGAATCTGTCGCTGGAACTTTGCTGCCCTCTAGCGGGAAAAGTATTAGGTGTAGGGTTTAACGGATTGCACTACGCGACTCTACGCCCCAAGTTACCCCTATATAGGGATTTTCAGCGGAATCCTAGGGGTCCGGCAAATCTGTCGCTGGAACTTTGCTGCCCTCTAGCGGGAAAAGTATTAGGTGTAGGGTTTAACGGATTGCACCACGCGACTCTACGCCCCAAGTTACCCCTATATAGGGATTTTCAGCGGAATCCTAGGGGTCCGGCGAATCTGTCGCTGGAACTTTGCTGCCCTCTAGCGGGAAAAGTATTAGGTGTATGGTTTAACGGATTGCACCACGCGACTCTACGCCCCAAGTTACCCCTATGTAGTGATTTTCAGCGGAATCCCAGGGGTCCGGCGACCAAGTTACCCCTATTTCAGCGGAATCCTAGGGGTCCGGCGAATCTGTCGCTGGAACTTTGCTGCCCTCTAGCGGGAAAAGTATTAGGTGTAGGGTTTAACGGATTGCACCACGCTACTCTACGCCCCAAGTTACCCCTGTGTAGTGATTTTCAGCGGAATGCTAGGGGTCCGGCGAATCTGTCGCTGGAACTTTGCTGCCATCTAGCGGGAAAAGTATTAGGTGTAGGGTTTAACGGATTGCACCACGCGACTCTACACCCCAAGTTACCCCTATGTAGGGATTTTCAGCGGAATCCTAGGGGTCCGGCGAATCTGTCGCTGGAACTTTGCTGCCCTCTAGCGGGAAAAGTATTAGGTGTAGGGTTTAACGGATTGCACCACATGACTCTACGCCCCAAGTTACCCCTATGTAGGGATTTTCAGCGGAATCCTAGGGGTCCGGCGAATCTGTCGCTGGAACTTTGCTGCCCTCTAGCGGGAAAAGTATTAGGTGTATGGTTTAACGGATTGCACCACGCGACTCTACGCCCCAAGTTACCCCTATGTAGGGATTTTCAGCGGAATCCTAGGGGTCCG